TTTGGTCCAGGTTGGGCTAATATTTACTTGGGAATGGACCTGCTCCAAAAACTTTAACCTGATCACTCAACTGGAAAATGTAGGTCAGATCCAGCATCCAAAGCAAGTGTGGTAGTGTCCATCCCTAGATGCATCACCCATGCAAGTTTGGTCCAGGTAGGGCTTATAGTTACTAATGGGAATGGACTTGCTCCTATAACTTTAACCCGGACGCCAACACTAACGCTGACGCCGGGGGTGTAGCATAAGCTCATCTTGACTTCATCGAGGTGAGCTAAAAATGTAACAATATAGGGCAGCAAGAAATTCAAATATTGAATATATTATTGGTGCTTTTAAACTTGTAAAATGTAAATATAAGGAATGTTTTTAAGTTTAGTGTGAATTATTGGTGTGTAAATTACACAGACTTGCAAGTTACAAGGTATATTTTTCATTAAGCACTAGCGCGCTTCCTGAAATATGCCTATGTGACAAGTCTGTTTGATTTACATGCCAATAACTCACACAAAACTTAAAAACATTCCTTAAATGACTCATCAAAACTTTGCTGTTCTTGAGAAGATGATTTTAAAAGATTTTTCCTATGCATTCCTAACTAAAACTTGTTCACTCATTGTGGCCCCTTCCTAACCCCAGGGTTGTGACTTGAACAAACTTATTAAATCTACACTATGTAATGAAGCTTTCACATATGTTTCATATTTTCTGGCCTAGTGCTTATTGAGAAGATTTTTAAATAATTACCCCACCCAATTTTCACAGTTACTCTTTCTTAATTATCTCCCCTTGGAAGAGGGTGTAGCCCTTCATTTGAACAAACTTGAATCCCCTTCACCCAAGGATACTCTGTGCCAAGTTATTTGATTGATATTGACTGGTTCTTGAGAAGAAGATGGAAATGTGAAAAGTTTATGATGACAATGATAACAATGACAGACAATGGACAAAGCTAACTTGAGCTAAAAAAAAAAAAAAGCATTATATGACCTTGACCTTTATTGTACAGAAAGAATGGAGACTCCTTATAAATATGTCCAAATGTCAGATCTCTACTATAAATGGATCAAAAGTTACTTTGCATTTATATGGCATGTAGATGGTATAAACACGATTCAAAACGTAGGCTCCAGAGTGACCAATATATAGGATGGCTATAATTTTATTTATATAATTTTTCTTCAAAATATGTTGAAAACATGTCACAGCTTATTATTTTTCTTACAAAGATCCTTCATTATTGACAATATTATAGTGAAATTATTCTTTTTTTCTGGTGTACTTTAATTATAAGATATGCATTAAAACAGATTTCATGGGTGTTGTGTACTACCTTAATGTTCATCTCATCTGGTTAATCAGGGCATAGTCATGATGACATTATAATATATATTTATTATGTTTTTTATGCCCCTGTATCAAAGATTCGGGGGTACATAGTTTTTGCCCTGTCCATGCGTCTGTCTGTCTGTTTACCTGTTTGTCTGTTTGTCCGCAAAAACTTTAACATTGCCCATAACTTTTGTTTGGTTGGAGCTATGACTTTCATATTTCACATGTGTATTCCTTGTGACAAGACCTTTCTTTGGGTACCATCTTATTTGACCTTTTGACCTTGACCTTGGAGTTTGACCCAGTTATACAAAATTTTACCCAACTTTAACCTTGGCCATAACTTTTAAACAGTTGGTGCTAGGGCTTTCATACTTCACATGTGTAATCCTTGTGACAAGACCTTCCTTTGGATACCAACAACTTTGACCTTTTGACCTTGACCTTGGAGTTTGACCTACTTTTGATAAACTTTAAACTTGGCCATATCTTTTGAACAGTTGGTGCTAGGGCTTTCATATTTCACATGTGTATTTCTTGTGAGAAGGCCTTTCCTTGGGCACCATTAGTTTTGACCTTGACCTTGATGTTTGACTTACCTTTGAAATTTTTTTTACCTTTTCCATATCTTTTAAATGGTTGCTGCTAGGGCTTTCATACTTCACAGGTATATTCCTCGGGACAAGAGCTTACTTTGTATAGCAACATATTTGATTTGTATTTGAGAAAGTTTAACCTTCGCTATAAGTTGCCATACGGGGGCATCAGTGTTTCACAAACACATCTTGTTATGCCCCCATATCAAAGATTCGGGGGTATATAGTTTTTGCCCTGTCCGTCCATCTGTCTGTCTGTCCGTTTGTCTGCAAAAACTTTAACATTGCTTATAACTTTTGAATGGTTGAAGCTATGGCTTTCATATTTCACATATGTATTCCTTGTGACAAGACCTTTCTTTGGGTACCATCATATTTGACCCTTTGACCTTGACCTTGGAATTTGACCTTCTTTTGAAAAACTTTAACATTGGATATAACTTTTGAACGGTTAATGCTAGGGCTTTCATACTTCATATGTGTAATCCTTGTGACAGGACCTCTATATGGATACCAACAACTTTGACCCTTTGACCTACAAGTTTGACCTACTTTTGAAAAACTTTAACATTGGCTATAACTTTTGAATGGTTAATGCTAGGGCTTTCATACTTCACATGTGTAATCCTTGTGACAAGACCTCTATATGGATACCATCAACTTTGACCCTTTGACCTTTGACCTATGAGTTTGACCTACTTTTGAAAAACTTTAACATTGGCTATAACTTTTGAATGATTAATGCTAGGCTTTCATACTTCACATATGTATTCCTTGTGACAAGACCTTTCTTTGGATACCAACAACTTTGACCCTTTGACCTTGACCTTGGAGTTTGACCTACTTTTGAATAACTTTAACCTTGACCATATCTTTTAAACGGTTGGTGCTAGGGCTTTCATATTTCACATGTGTATTTCTTGTGAGAAGGCCTTTCCTTGGGCGCCATTAATTTTGACCAATTGACCTTGACCTTGATGTTTGACTTACTTTTAAAAAAATTTAGCTTTTCCATATCTTTTCAATGGTAGCTGCTAGGGCTTTCACATTTCACAGGTATATTCCTCGGTACAAGACCTTACTTTGGGTACCAGCATATTTGATTTGCATTTGAGAAAGTTTAACCTTCGCTATAAGTTGCCAAATGGGGGCATAAGTGTTTCACAAACACATCTTTTTTTATGGTCTTTCTCTCTCTCTATTTATTCTCTCTCTCTCTCACTCTCTGTGGATTCACTTCATATGATACATGTACCAATTAATGTTACATACTGCTTTTCAATGTTAAATGTACTTTATTATGTTTTTTTCTCTTTATTTTACTCTCTCTCTCTTTCTCTGGATTCACCTTATACATGTACCTGCAATTAATGATCTATTTTACATACTGCTTTTCAATGTTAAATGTACCAATACTTGTTATAATTGTACCTTGACCTATGGAGAGAACGATTATAGGCATTATGCATGCTGTTCAATCCATTTCATTTGTAATGAATAAATATATTTTAAACTATATACCTTGTGGCTCTTCCAATATTCCTTAATTTGTGAGATGGTGCTAAAAATAATCTGGGGGTATTCCCCGAGTAGGTCGCGTTTGAATGAAAACAAATTTACTGAATCCGTAAGAATTTTTGGGGGATGGGGGTGGGGTGTTTGTTTTACTTTTTTTGAAACTGAATTCAGAATCCACCCCTAGAGACGAAATTTACTTGGATATACCATATGATGTTATATGTGAAAATGTTTGATAATGACGGGGTGCACATTTTTTTGTATCTGGAAATGAAATCAAAATAAACAATGCCTCCAAATAATATGTTATCTTTCAAAAGAACATTTTCCAGCAAAAACATGTGCATATGATGCAAATACAAAACTAAAGGTTTCAAGGTTTCACTGTTACATGTACCTACACTATTTGCCGATTTTCAATCCGATTGTTAAATGGTAGGCAAACCGGGCCAGGGCAAATGTAATCAAATACGCCCTTGGACTTACGTGCCTTAGTTTCGTATTTATTTTGATTTCCCTCTCTCTCGTCCCTCTTACTTATTTACTTAATTACTTTCTTTTAATTAGCATTTTGTCGATTTACACATACAAGTAAAACATCTATGCAAGCAAGATTCTGATTTCATTGAACTTTGTTTCTCTCAAATTCGAAAGCAACCATGGCAGACTAACAAAACAGAAAGTAAAATTTTCAAGAAAACTTTAAAGTTTGATTAACAACTTACAAGTTAATATAGGGAATATTATTGTGTAGGATTTGTGTTGATGTGAGTAATATTGTATTTTTTTTTTTTTATAATTGTTCACTTTGATAAGAGTTATAGACCCATTTAAAGTCACACCAGCAAAGTAAAATTGATCATGATTGATGTTTACCATTTATCCACAGAGGCTTTGCTCCTCCTGGTGTGCTAAAATATTCACCAACTACTAAAACAACACAGGAGTTGGTATATAAGTCTTAATAACAATTTTTTTTTTCGAGCAAGCGTCTGTGATAAAATTTAGTATTCTGGCGTATTGTATTCTCCACATTGTCACTTAATTATTTGGAACTGCCACATATTTACAAGTTATCTTTTGATAGCATACTTTATAAAAATTTGAAGAAGTCAATGCCTCTAAATTCTTATTAATATCAAACATCTAGCAGGTAAATAGTTTTGCATCATTACAATGAGTATACCAAAATTATAATCGTAATCGAGTAATTGTAATTGATTGTAATTATTATTTTTCTTTTCAGTATTAATCTACAATAATTTGTAATGAAGGAATTTTTTTTATTATCATTACTTGTAATCGTAATTTAATTGATTTCAGTAATTTACTTTTCGGGTCTTTTAGAGATCAAACTCTATAGGTAGTTTATCTGCAGGAAGTAAATTTAGAAAGATAGATGGAAAATAGAATATGGTCAAATACAGGATATTTTTACATATGCTAAAAAATGTTACAATTGTCTCAGATTGATTTCACAATTATGAATTATTTTTGTAACTAATAGGATATCATACTTAAAGCTTCTTTCTTCTTTTTTTTCAGTACATGACAAGGAATAAGAAGATGTCATATGGTGTGATAGTCATCAATCCCTAAGACATTGATTAATTTCAAACATGTTTAAGAAATTTTTTAATAAAAAAGGTAAGTTGAATTATTGATTCAAAAGTGTTTTTTGCCTTTTCTACAGTATTGTAAATTCACCATGGATCATACACCCTCTCATGTAGAATATGATAGACCTTTGTACAATGTAGTTTGTACTAGAGACATAAATAACAGAGGTTCACAACTGATCAAACACATTCTTCTGTCCAACTTTAGGATGCCATTTAGAAAAACATTCAAATGTTTATGGTCGATCCCAATAATTATTTTGATTCGTAAACAGTGAATTGTCATTAATTTTGTGCTGTAATGGCCTACTGGATGAAATTATGAATTAATTAATAATATTCGTTTTTTGTTGTTTTACTTTTAGATCACAAGTATCTAAATTTTATATTTATTTAATCCAGCTGTTATTTGTAATGAAGTGATTGACATACCGTAACTGGTGACAAACTGGCAATTAGAGTAATATACTAATCATGAACAAAATTTTTTATTAGGGAAAGTTAGTTTTTTTTGTCTTCAAACCTTATATTATTGTCCAAATGCTTGACAAAAATTTATTTCGAAATACAGACTGAGTGTGGATAATACTAAATTATATAGCATGTAAAACACATTTTTATTATAAAAATCTTCAGTAAAGCAAATTTATTAGGTAAAATGTAGATATTTTTGATGCCAAATACATGCCAAAAATTAAACTAACTTGTGTGGTTCAAGAGCACATTTTACTATGCTGAATATACCTCAGAATCAAAATATACAAATGATTTACAGTTGTACAATATTTTAAATCGAATACATGTATATACAGAATGTAAAATAAATTCAAAATACACATATACATGTTTTCATAATTTCATTACATTTATATTAGTTGCTGATTAAATGTACGTGGCATTTTTTCTTTCTTCATTGGTTGTTCTCGTAATACAGGTTTGACTGTATATGTTTAGAATTATCAAAGGTAATGAAATAAACTGTTTCTAAATCATGACCTATGGTCAGCCATATCTTGAAGTTTCATCTACTGTTGTTCATTGACCTATGGCCTATTTTGCTTTTGTAAATGAATTTTTATGTTGTTGAAAACTTTAAAAATCTCGCACCCATATATAAAAGAAATTTAACTTTAGGTCAGAATATAAAACTAATATGGAGTAGGTATAAAATGGGTCTAGCTGACACATATTTTAGCAAATAAACCTGATATTAATAGCAGGGTTGAAAATCCCTGTTATTTATACCTCTCTGTATGTACATAATACAACAGTTTTTCTTCTAAAGATATGTTCAAATCTGAACTAATCCAATTTGCAATAAGACCTACATTTCTACCAGTCTTTTATGTAAAGAGCCATTGAATTTTGCTTTAATGAAAATTTATTAAGTGACAAAGTATTGTCCAGATTAACTTTTAAATCATATTTTATAGTGTCACTTCTTAGTCGTTTATAACTACATTTGCTTCATTTCTGTTGTTGTCAGAATTCTTTTCTTACAACAGTAGAATTTTTCACCATTTCATTACCTAGAAGTAAAATCACTTTAAATTCAGAGACACTGATTTCCAATAATTTGAAGTTTATACTTTGACAGAACCATTTGGTCTTAATATAACCAGTTTTGATTGCAAGCTAGATAAAAAAAAAAATAAAATCTTGTGTCCCAAAAATGTGTAGGCCTTTTGCACATAAAACTTTTTAATTTTTATGATTGAGTATATATTTCAGACTTACCTTCTTCAAGTTGGGAATGCTACAAGTGCAACAAGAAGATAGAACCAGGGGAGAAATGTGACAACTGTGACAGAAAGTTTAACAAGGAAAAAGATAAAGAATTAGATAACAGTTCAGAGAAAGTCACTCACAAAGAAGATCCAGAATTCAAGATTAATAAATATGACAAAAAGAAAGAGAAGGAAAATGTTGGAACTGGAATAAAAACTATAACAAATAAACAACCCAACTCTGCTCAAGCTGCAGATAAGGAGTCTGTGCAAACTAGTTCTCTGTCTACTGATCATGTAAATGGAGCAAATTATGACGCTCAAGGTCATGGGGATGACAAACAGAAGTTAAGTGATGGATGGACATGTAAAATTTGTCACAAAAGTGGAAATCTTGATTTAGATTGTAAAATGTGCCAAGAAAGAAAGAAAGAATCTATTGATGAAGGGGACATTAAAAACAGGAAGAAAAGGAAACAATTAAATAGAAGCAGGCTGAAAGCAGGACGCAGCATTCGTGTTGATAAGGAGAGAGACAGACAGAAAAAAATTGCTCAACAAATCGCCACAAATATTAAAGAATATTGCAAAAAAGTAATGATTTTAAATCAGTTCTGATATTTAAAAGTTTAAAATATATCAACTCATATATATTTTCTATTTATTCCAATCTAAGATAACTGTTAAAAATATATAATATGAACAAATATAAGAGGTGTTTTAAATTTAAAATTGCTGTACATATTGTCTTTTTCCATAAAAACTGGATTAAATCAAGTGGTATAATAATACTTGAGATGGAGGCACATATACATTATGTGTTTTATTGTGAATGTTTTTTTTTTACAGAACAGTACTTGTTATAAAGATGAGAGTTTTCCTGATCCTAATGCTCCAAATAGAGATGGAGAGCAATGGAAGAGAATAGACTACATTAAAGACAAATGTTGTAAAGGGAAAGAACCCTGGACTGTGTTTAGGAACCCCAGTCCTGATGATGCTATACAGGGATCGGCAGAAAATTGCTGGTATGACAATTGTTTTCTTAATCACCAATGTTTGATGATTTTCTTCAGAATGTCTCAAAGGCCTCTACAAATTGAAAAAAGAAAACATATTTGGAAAGACAAGTTTGGGAACAAAATTGTCATTCTAAAGAACACTGATGAAGGAGATCAGTTTGTACAACCCCCCCCCCCCAAAAAAAAAAATAGAAGAACAAACAAACAAACAAACAAAAATAAATAAGAAATGCTGCTTCATCTTTAATTAAAGTATTTAATACTGTATCTTGTAGGTTCCTGTGTTCAGTCAGTTTGCTGGCACAGAGGGAGGATCTTTTAAGAGAAATTCTGATCACAGAAAATTATTGTCCAGAAGGCTTATACCAGGTCCGTCTCTGTAAGGATGGCAACTGGAAAACTGTCATTGTTGATGACCGCTTTCCCTGTGATGAACATGGAAATCTGAAATATGCAAGAGTATGTTTGTGTAACATAATGACTATTGTATGTCTTATCTATTTCAGTGTAAAAATTGATCTATTTCACACAAGAAGATAAATGTTAAAATTCTTATGATTCTGCAATGTCTGAATTAAGTCAGTGGTGTAAAATTTTTGGTGCTAAATGTAATTGGAAGGTTGATACTACAGTGAAACCTGTCTAATCTGACATGCACTGTGAGATTAATCTTATGTCAGAATAGAGAGTTTGTCAGATTATGCAGTGTTAAGAACATGGGAAATAGTAAAATGGTAATGAAAATAAAGGTCAGAATTCCCAGTGATACGGATTGTACAGGTGTCGGATTAGACAATTTTCACTGTAAATGGAAAGGATGTCAAGTTTTGTCTTGTTTCCAGCCTCATAATAGACAACTATGGGTGATGCTGTTAGAGAAGGCAGCAGCCAAGCTTCATGGAGGATACAAAGCTTTGGATTCAGGTCTTGTTGTAGAGTCCCTGGCCATGTTGACTGGAGAACCTTGTAAACACATTGACCTTGGAGGTTTGTTTCTTAAAGTATATGCAGAATTATAGTCCATGGTTCAGAAAAGCAATACATACATATTTCCAATGTATATTTTCCAAAAATGTAGCTATTATCAAAGTTGCATAAGACAGCTCACTACAGTATTGTCTGTCTTGCATCATCCATCAGAAGAAGACTTAATTTTGTATGTTTTCAGCTTCTTTTTTTCAATTTCAGTAAATTTTGGTAAATATTACCTTTGGATAAAGAGAACATACATTATGAATTTCATAGTCTCTGCTTCTCAGGGGTCAAAACCATCAAAATCAATGCAATCTTTGAAAATGTTCATCTGTTTGTATATTTATAATAAGCAATAGCTTCTTACCAAAATTGTGAAATTCATGGCCCCTTGGTCCAGGATTTATACTCCAGGGTAGGACTATTTTGTCATACATTTGTATCTTATAAATTCCTCTTTACTGAAATTGACATCAAATAGTCATACTATGTTCATGTTTACAAAAAGCAGTCAGTCCTTTACTAAAATTATGAAATGTAGCTTCTGGGCCTATGGTTCAGGTCTTACTGACTACGATGGGTCTTAATTGGTTAATCTTGGAAAATCTTTTTCTAATCATGGTCATGCTCATCTAAAAGGAAAATTGACTGTCTGATTCTAATGAGCAGATAACCCTCTATAAATTATAAAATTCATGCCTCCAGGTCCAGGGATAGGCCTACAGAGTAGTCAAAAAGGTCAAGATTATGTATTATACTTGTTCTTCCCTATTTTATGTCATTCAGTGTATCAATTTTCTTAATGTGATGACTTTGGTGTATACTGATTATTGGTATGAGCATTTTTTTGCACCCTGTGTGACTCCATTATACGTGGTATTTCTATTTATACTCTTTAAGAAGATCTGCATGAATAATCTGACCTTTACTCTCAGAATAAAAAAAGTATTGATTGCTAATGTGATGTAGATAAGTGTTGTGACCTATGGCTTTCTGATACTATTCAAATATTAAAGGTTTTCATTATAATATGATTTACGGTAAGGAATTCTTATAATTGTTATGATTTATATTTTGAAGGAGTGGATATTCAGAAAAAAGATGACAAGAAACTGAAGATAGATCGAGATAAACTTTGGGAGGATCTTAAGAATTGGAGATCACTAGGGTAACATTTCTTAAATACTCTATATAGAGAAGAGCTAGGTTCACTTAATGCATAAAATGGTCCTGACCACATATTAATTAGTTGACCAAGTCCCTATTTCATTTCAACCATCAATATAAAGAAGAGATCCAGTGCTTTCATTTCCTATAAAAATTTCCCCGAGAGTCCAGGTATTAAACAAGAGGCCCAAAGGCCTTAACGGTCACCTGAGTATAATAAAACAATTTAGAAGTTAAATACACTGATAGATGAAGCATTGTTGCCCTAGCCCCCCCCCCCCCCCCCCCCTCCTCAAGAACCCCAAAAACTGAGGCCATATATTTAAAAATTTTGGAAGAGGCATCCTTGTCTATCATAATCATGCACTTAGTTTGTTTAAATAATCTCCAGTAGCAGAGAAGTTTTTCAAAGAATCAATGCATTTTCACTATATAATCAATAGAGCCCCGCCCTAACACCAGAACCCCTGACCCTGGGGCCATGAAATTCACAATTTTTGAAAAGGCATCCTTATGCGTTTAAATAGTCTCCAGTAGCAGAGAAGAAGATTTTCAAAGAATCAATGCATTTTCACTATAAAATCAATACAGCCCCACCCTAACACCAGAACCCCTGACCCTGGGGCCATGAAATTCACAATTTTTGAAAAGGCATCCTTATGCATCATAACCATGCACTTAGTTTGTTTAAATAATACCCAGGAGCAGAGAAGAAGATTTTCAAAAAATTAAAGCATTTTTACTATATAATCAATAGAGCCCCGCCCTAACACCAGAACCCCTGACCCAGGGGCCATGGCTTTCACAATTCTGGAAGAGGCCCACCTCCTCATCATAACTACGTACTTAGTTACTTTATTAAATACCCAGGAGCAAAGAAGAAGATTTTCGAAGAATTAATGCATTTTCACTATATAATTTATAGAGCCCTGCCCTAACACCAGAACCCCTGACCCTGGGGCCATGAATTTCACAATTTTGGAAGAGGCACTCTTGCTCATCATAACTATGTACTTAGTTCCTTTATTTAATACCCAGGAGCAGAGAAGAAGATTTTCAAAGAATTAATGCATTTTTCTCTATATAATCAATACAGCCCCACCCTAACACCAAAACCCCTGACCCTGGGGCCATGAATTTCACAATTTTGGAAGAGGCACTCTTGCTCATCATAACTATGTACTTGGTAACTTTATTTAATACCCAGGGGCAGAGAAGAAGATTTTCAAAGAATTAATGCACTTTCACTATATGATCTATATAATCCCACCCTGGGGCCAGAACCCCTGACCCTGGGGCAATAAATTTCACAATTTTGGAAGAGGCACTCTTGCTCATCATAACTATGTACTTAGTTCCTTTATTTAATACCCAGGAGCAGAGAAGAAGATTTTCAAAGAATTAATGCACTTTCACTATATGATCTATATAGCCCCACCCTGGGGCCAGAACCCCTGACCCTGGGGCCATGAATTTCACAATTTTGGAAGAGGCACTCTTGCTCATCATAACTATGTACTTAGTTCCTTTATTTAATACCCAGGAGCAGAGAGGAAGATTTTCAAAGAATTAATGCATTTTCACTATATAATCAATACAGCCCCGCCCTAACACCAGAACCCCTGACCCTGGGGCCATGAATTTCACAATTTTGGAAGAGACAGTCTTGCTCATCATAACTATGTACTTAGTTCCTTTATTTAATACCCAGGAGCAGAGAAGAAGATTTTCAAAGAAATAATGCACTTTCACTATATGATCTATATAGCCCCACCCTGGGGCCAGAACCCCTGACCCTGGGGCCATGAATTTCACAATTTTGGAAGAGGCACTCTTGCTCATCATAACTATGTACTTAGTTCCTTTATTTAATACCCAGGAGCAGAGAAGAAGATTTTCAAAGAATTAATGCATTTTCACTATATAATCAATACAGCCCTGCCCTAACACCAGAACCCCTGACCCTGGGGCCATGAATTTCACAATTTTGGAAGAGACAGTCTTGCTCATCATAACTATGTACTTAGTAACTTTATTTAATACCCAGGAGCAGAGAAGAAGATTTTCAAAGAATTTATGCACTTTCACTATATGATCTATATAGCCCCACCCTGGGGCCAGAACCCCTAACCCTGGGGCCATGAATTTCACAATTTTGGTAGAGGGCTCAATGCTTATTACAATGATGCCAACAGTTTGACTGCTTCATGTCCGGGAGTAAAGAAGAAGATTTTTAAAGATTGCATTATTTTTGGTGGTTTTAGCCCCACCCCTCAGGCCCCGGGGGGGCAGGGACCATGAAATTCACAATTTTTGTTCCCCTTCACCCATAGATGCTATATACCAAATTTGGTTGAAATTGGTTGAGCGGTTCTAGAGAAGAAGTTAAAAATGTTCAAAAGTTAACGCACGACGCACGACGACGGACAAAAACAGATAGCAATAGGTCACCTGAGTGACTCAGGTGACCTAAAAAATGGGGGGCTTTGTGAAATTGCAATGTTCTTTAATTCTGCAGAAATCAGGTGTATTTGAATATCTTCAGTAAAGAATTAAAATGTGAGCCCACCCCTCGGTCCAAAAAAAATAAAACATTTTATAAACTTCAGAAATAGTTCTTTTTATTATATAACTGGACATTTTAGATCAGAGGTTGCATGGGCTCTATGCAAAATATTGAATAACAACTTATATTTTTGGCTATTTTTGAAGAATTGTTCAAAATTTGGAAATAATGATGCAATTCATGACATCATAATATAATGACTAGCAAGAAAATCATGCCATTTTCAATGTATATGCAGTCACTAAGTGTTCAGGTGATATTTAATGTATTGTTAAGTTAACTGAATTTTGATTTTTCAGAAATTCACAAGGCCAAAAAAAACCCCAAAGTGAACCTTGTTCTTTATAATACACTGTACATGTATATCTAATATGCCCTATTGAAGAGCTGAATAAATGTGATCAAACTGCAGTTGCTTAAATATTTTATGAACCTTTTTCTAAGAAATTGGTAGTAGTACATGTATTGCTAATGCATACTATCTAAGGATAAAGTATTATTTTAAGGTACCTTCTTGGAGTCAGTACCTCCCCAGATCTTACTCATGATGAACTATTTCGAGCCCACTGTTACCCTATCTTGGATATTGAAGAGACAGCAGATGGTAAAAGGTATTTTGAGGACAAACATTCTCTTTTATTCTATTAAAGTAAAAAAAAAAGTTTTATACGTGTTCAAAGTTGGATATTAGAAGTTGTGAGGAATGCCTTAAACTTTTCCCCCAGCATGAGTCATATTTGTAAATGCTATGATAAGTAGGAGTACATAAGATTTAGAATTTTCAATTTTAGTAGAGATTGAACTTACATTGAAGATGAATAGTTGATTTATTTTGTTGATTAATCCAAAGTTATCCTATATGTGAGTGATTTGATTGAAATACATGCATTACAAATTGGTGGCACTTAGAAAATAAATGGAAGAATGAAAGAAAAGAATACTGTGTAATAGATTTATTGATATATGCATATTCCTTCTTTTGTCGTGCTTTCGACTAAGTGATCACATAAAGTTTAAGTGAGGTGCGGCAGATGACAAGAAAAGAATTGCAAGCCTTCTCTCTTTTTATGTATCAGTTGAAAACAAGACATTTAACAAGGCTTTTAGAAATAAAAGGTTAACATTATTGATAACATGTAATATATATTAGAGTATATGAATAGGAAAAAAAGTGTGTCACTCCCAGATTTAAAAAGAGTAGGGATGTCAACGAGTACCCGGTTAACCGGGTACTCGATCAAACGTCCGAGTATCGAATACTAAAATCGGTACTCGGTTACTCGGATGTATATTTTTTCATATTTCAAAGTACATATATTTATTAAAAACTTTTATTTGAATATGCACTGTCAATGTCTATACAGTAATTAGTGTCACCTTCTCCAGTTAATACCCGTTATCGCCTGTGGCTGTGTATATGTATATATAGTAATTACCGTGACCGATCACTCGACACTGTACACAGCTGTCCTCACCTCTTGTGACCCTAATTTTTGGATGGCTTCAATTATTTGATTTCAATCTTTTAATTAGATCCACTAATTATCCTTATATTATTTAATTAGCATACAGTAGCAAAATGGGGCATACGTAGAAATACCGCTACCAATTCAAAAGCGAATTAAGAAATGTTGAAAAATAACTGAAGATTTAATAAATGTTAAATTCAGCTCTGCATAATAAATCTAGCGTATACGGGGGAAGGGGGGAGACCATGTATTTAAGGAATCACTGTATAGTTTGTTGGGTATGCCAGAGCATCAAGGGTAGTTGGAAACTTGGGGATAATTTATGCATGACGGGTGAAGTTGTAAATACTAGTAACAAGAAATCATCATACTTGTCTTTCAGAGTTATCACAAAGAAAACATTTGGAAATGTTAATAATATACGACTCGCGATCACAATAACGATATTCTCTTCTGCTAGTCTAATTATTACATTACAAAATTGCGTCCTTCTCTTCCGTTGGTCAAAATGTCTTCCTAAACAAGAACTGTAAAGCATTAATTTTGTAGTCATTGGTGTCTATTGTGTTTGTTTGATACATAAATTAAGTACAAAAATCATTTTCGTTTGGCTCGATGATTATATAGATGCATTATAAACTAAAAGAAACATCGAAGGGGTATACAGATCTATAAATCAACAAACTTTTACATGTATGCACACTTTTTCCGAGTACCCGGGTACTCGATCGGAAAATCGTCCGAGTAACCGATTATCAAATATTGACATCCCTAAAAAAGACAAAAAAAAATTGTAAAGAGGGGGTTGGGGGTCCATACCCTGTGCCTGTGGTATATTTATACATGTAAATATTATTCATAGTGAATGCTGTAGATTCTTTATTTTATATGAGTAATAATATTGTGCTTTGACTTGCCTTCAAATTTTGAAGACATAAATTAGATGGTGCACTGTTCTGGGTTGATCCAGAGTTTTATCATGTATTTCATCAATAAAAGCAAGTAATGTCATGAACAGTGCTTTTCTCGAAATTACATGATTATAAATTCCTTGCATATATATAGGAATCTGTGGTATATATGCTGAATATATATTTCAGGTACCTGTGGTGTAATGCATTTAGCATAAAAGTGAAAAAGATTGAATTCAAGAAACACTTAATTTATTCACTTTTTACATTAAATTTAAGAGTTGGTTTATTCATCTTTGTAAATAAAATATTATTTATAATGAATATACAGATATAAGCTGAGTATATATATGTACATGTGTTTAAAGTACCTCTTTTCTTCAGACTGATGAAGCTATGGACCTCCACTGACCATCAACATTGTATCACAGGCTGTTTAAAGCGCTCTTCTTTACAGAAAGATAAAAAGAAGCTCCTTCGGCATCTTAAGAAAGGACAATTCTGGATTTTATTTGAAGAAGAATTTATGGAGTAAGATACAACTCTTTTACTCTGAAAGGTTTATTTTGTTGCTTAAATTATCTGTCTTTCTTTTTTTTTTTTTAAATATGAAAATAATAATCCCAATATATTTTTAAAAAGAAGTGAAGTACAATGTATATGTACATGTATATACATTTGGAGAAAGGGTAAAGAACCCCAAAGAATATGAATTAGATGCATCCCATATAATCTAGTTACCAGTATAATTATGTCAATTTACTGTCTGTTAATTCCAGGCACTTTAATTACCTGTCCGTGTGTAAGACTGACAGTGGATGGTTTGAGTCGAGATTCAAAGGTGTGTTCCTCCCTGAACTCAGCAATGACTGGAAGTACTATAGCTTCAGACTGACAATGGATACAAAACTAAAGCTTAGTCTCTTCCAGAAAAGCATGAGGTACTGCATAATGGTTTGAATTTGTGGGTGTTTAATTTTGTTTATTTTTCCAATCATGGGTGTTGAATTCAGTCAAATGTAATTTATGTAGTCAATGTTAATTTTATGAATACCTTTTGGTCTGATCCTCTATCATGTTTATGTATATATTTTTCTTATTTTCGTCATTTTGAATAAATGACATATTTCATCTCAACATTGGTGTTGATTTCATTGATCATAACTTGGCAACAAGAGGCCCATGGGCCACAGCGCTCACCTGAGTAACTTTGGCCTTGCTGTTTTTCACCTGATTTCTCCCCCCTCCCCCCGTAGTACTTATTGTGGCCCCGCCCTACCCCCGGGGGTCATGATTTGAACAGTTAGAATCTACACTACCCCAGGATGCTTCCACATAAGTTTCAGCTTTTCTGGCCCAGTGGTTCTTGAGAAGAAGATTTTTTTAATGACCCCACCCAATTTTTGTATTTTCTTGATTATCTCCCCTTTGAAGGGGACTTGGCCCTTCATTTTAATAATTTAAACTCCCCTTCACCCAAGGATGCTTTGTACCAAGTTTGGTTAAAATTGGCCCAGTGATTCTTGAGAAGAAGATTTTTTAATGACCCCACCCAATTTTTGTATTTTCTTGATTATCTCCCCTTTGAAGGGGACTTGGCCCTTCATTTTAACAATTTAAACTCCCCTTCACCCAAGGATGCTTTGTACCAAGTTTGGTTAAAATTGGCCCTGTGGTTCTTGAGAAGAAGTCAAAATGTGAAAAGTTTACAGACAGACGGATGGACGACGGACAACGGGTGATCAGAAAAGCTCACTTGAGCTTTCAGCTCAGGTGAGCTAAAAACAGAGCTGCGGTGAGATTGTGCAGCATGAGGAAACATAAGTGGCATTTAAACATAAAATTTTAATGGTTTCTAAAAATTCACAATTCTTTTGGATTGAGAAGATAACAAAAATTAACACATCCCCCTATACAGTATCTTTTTTTCAAGATCAGATATTTGTACATGCATATGAATAAACATAAAAAATAATTATTATTGATACTTCCCACTAGAATTTTACAAGCATGTATGTTTGCAATTTTTAAAATAGATTGGGTCAAAGAGAAACATTGTCCTAAATTGTGCCCAGGCGAAAACTATTTAATAGTATGCTTGTTCATATACAAGCGATGAGGCTACCCTGTAAATAACTTAATTTAATATTCTTCTAGAGGAGCAGGTTTGATGGTAGAGCAGTTTGTAGATTTGCTGATCATGGTGCTTCAGAACCAGGTGGATGGCTCAGGACTTCCCTTTAAACAGGCCCCATTGTTTAGTCGAGTGATGGACTACAGTGAGAGACGAGCTCGCAGTCTCACCACATGTGAGGTGGATCTAGCTCCTGGAAGCTATACTGTAGCTTGTTTTTCTTTTGGAAAATTAAGACGAGGTCAGTATTATTATGATGTAACGACTGAAGTAGCTGATTATCTATTGTAACCCGAGATTGATTTAGTTGTACACAGGTGTAAATTGTAATTACTACTTCTGAAAGGTAGTCGGGTGTTGTTCCGTCATTTAAGCAGAAAGGTATGAAATACGTTGCATGTTTATTTTAATTATTTGATATTTTGTCCAAATTTTCTTCTTTTTTACTCTTGATTGCACTCACTTTCTTAACTTCAGTGTTCTGTTCTGAATGAAAAATATCCTTCATCACAATTCTGTCCAAAACAGTGAAAAAAAACGTGTATTAAGATAATGTTTCTGTGCATTTGTAAAAGTCTAATAGCAGGAAGATTTTAAGTAAAACAAATTTTCTTAAATTCAAAGTATTAAAATGATCTCTCTTTTTTGCACATGAACCAGTAATGTTTTTATGTAGACATAAAATTGTATCATTATGTGGGACATGCTCAAGTGATGTGAGAAAAACTTTTCTAGTGGAGTTGCAATCATTAAAATCTGCTGTTTGAAAAATAAGTTTTGCTCTTTCAAATATGCTCTTCTCAAATGATCCTCCATTCCTTAAACATGCTCTACTCATGTTTCTCAACTTCTATAACACTCTCAGAGATACAGGAGCATATCTTCAGGAGTTTGGTTGGTTGGTTTGATGTTAATCGAATACCCTCCTTGATTGACAGGTGGTGATGAATACACTGATGAGGACTATGTTAACTACACACTGAGCATACATAGCTCAGTCCAGCTCTTGTTTATGGATGAATGTGAGGTCAATCCTAAAAGCTTCCCAGAGCTCAGATATGCCCCTGCTGATGCTCTGATTACTCTGGCAAAACAGTGTAAGGTCGAGGAAAGATTTGACACAGAAAAATTACAAAGTGATGTTCGACTTAGTACGGTAAGACTTTATTGGTTTGATACACTTAAGGTGATTTTTTAGGTCACTTGAGTCATTCAGTAGAATTATTGCTATCTGTTTGTGTGTATCCTCTCAACATGCATTGTACATATATTAATTAATGGTAAACTGTCAAAGTTTCACTTACTAAATTTTTTAAATAAAGAAATATTCAAATTTTAACCCATCGATATATCATGTTTACAGTATTTATGTAATTACTTGTAATTAATGGTAATGATATTCTTCCAGGTTGATGATGGTATCTATTGTGTAATGTTCATGTTTTATGGAGAAATATGTGTGTTTATCAATGAGACTAGTGGAGGGTATGCTTATGTGAGGAATTATGGTCAAAGTTCATACCTGATGTCCTTGAGACATAAAATGAAAACAGCAGATTTTATTCCAGCAAAATCAGGGTAAGTTGTAAAGATGGTTTTTCAGACCATCCTTATCATTAGAAATACAGTCAAACTTTGTTATCTCGAACTCAATGGAACCAAGTAAAACTCGGAGATATATCCAAGGATTCGAGATATTCAGGGTAAAATACTTAAAGAATAAGGGGTTGGGACTTCCAAATCACTTTGACATATCCATGGTATTCGAGATATCAGTGTTTTAGATACCAAAAGTTCAACTGTATTTTTTTTTTAATTTGGCAATTCAGTAGTACACCATGGTACACTGAAGAATCATTATCTTTCTTGGGGGTTTCATGTGGGGTGGATAATGTGGCCTCATGGCTACCTCCTACCTACTAAAAAATCTATAGGTTTTTATAATAATCAAGATTTTTAAGTCACCTAAGCCTGATCAAAGGGTGTCTGGTGTCAGTCTGCCGTGTGACATCTGTAAACTTTTCACATTTTCGACCCATTGGGCTATTTCAACCAAACTTGCCACAAAGCATCCTTGGGTGAAGGAGATTCAAGTTTATTCAAATAAAGGACTGTGTCTTCTTTCAAGGGGAGGTACTGTAAACCAACTATTAGTCAGGTTGAAATCAATCCGCGACGATTAATTTTCGGGACTGAGGAATTACTCTCCACAAATACAAAGCAAAATAAATGGTATGGTTAATATTCACGAGTTTAAGTAGGTCGCGAAACTCGCGAATATTTCTTGCGTGTGAATAAAAGTTGGTTTACAGTAATTAAGAATTCTAAATTTAATGGCATCTTTCAAAAATCTTCTTCTCAAGAACCACTGGGCCAGAAAAGATGAAACTTAAATGAAAGCTTCATTACATAGTGTAGATTCAGATTTGTTCAAATCATGACCCCCAGTGCTAGGGTGGGGCCACAATATGAGATCAAAGTTTTACATAGGAATAGATAGGAAAAAATCTTCTCAAGAACAGTGAAGTCATGATTACTCATATTTATATGCAAGCCTCCTTTGGCAGTGTAGATTCATGTGTGTTCAAATTAAGACCTCCTGGAGGTAGGGTGGGGTCACAGTAGGGGATCAAAGTTTTTCATAAGAATTTATAGGAAAAATCTTTAAAATGTGTTCTATTATGAACAGCATAGCCATGATAAAGCACATTGATATGGGAGCATCCTCTAATAGTTTAGATTCAAGTTTGTTTAGATCAGGGCCCCGGATAATAGGTTGAGACTACAACCTCGGGAGGGGGGGGGGGGGTCATGATTTGAACAAAATTGAATCTAGACTAACTAAGGATGCTTACATATTTCTTTGACTAGCTGTGGCTTTTTTTCCTACAAGTTTGAACTTTCATTGTGGCCCCCCTACCCCCGGGGGTCATGATTTGAACAAACTTGAATCTACACTACCTGAGGATGCTTCCATATAAATAAGAGCAATCATGGCTATGCTTTTCTTGAGAAGAAGATTTTTAAAGATTTTACCTATATGCTCCTATGTAAAACTTTGATTGTCCATTGTGGCCCCACCCTACCCATGGGGGTGGTCATGAATTGAACAAACTTGAATCTACACCACCTGAGGATGCTTCCTTATGAATTTGACCAATCATAGCTTTACTGTTCTTGAGAAGAACATTTTTGAAGATTTTTCCTATATACTCCTATGTTAAACGTTGATTGTCCATTGTAGCCCCACCCTATCCCTGGGGGTCATGATTTGAACAAATTTGAATCTACATTACCTGACAATGATTCCACATGAGTTTCATCTTTCCTGGCCCATTGGTTCTTGAGAAGATTTTTAAAAGATGCCATTAATTTTTAGGTCACCTGAGTCACTCAGGTGACCTATTGCTATCCGTTTTTAGCTCACCTGAGCTGAAAGCTAAAATGAGCTTTTCTGATCACATTTTGTCTGTAGTCCGTCTGTCTATCTGACTGTCCGTCCGTCCGTCTGTAAACTTTTCACATTTTCGACTTCTTCTCCAGAACCACTGGGCCAATTTCAACCAAACTTGCCACAAAGCATCCTTGGGTGAAGGGGGTTCAAGTTTGGTCAAATGAAGGGCCACACCCTCTTCCAAGGTGAGATAATTAAGAATTGGTGAAAATTTGGTGTCATCTTTTAAAATCTTCTTCTCAAGAACCATTGGGCCAGAAAAGTTGAAACTTAAGTGAAACCTTCACTACATAGTGTAGATTCAAATTTGTTCAAATCATGACCTCCAGGGGTAGGGTGGGGCCACAATGGGGAATCAAAGTTTTACATAGGAATATATAGGAAAAATCTTATAATATCTTCTTCTCAAGAACAACAAAGCCACAATTAGTCATATTGATATGGAATCATCCTCAGGTAGTGTAAATTCAAGTTTGTTCAAGTCATGACCCCCAGGGGTAGGTGGGGCCAGAATGGGGGATCAAAGTTTTACATAGGAATAATAAGGAAAAATCTTTAAAATTCTTCTTCTCAATAACAACAAAGCCACAATTTGTCATATTGATATGGGATCATCCTCAGGTAGTGTAGATTCAAGTTTGTTCAAATCATGACCTCCAGGGGTAGGGTGGGGCCAGAATGGGGGATCAAAGATTTACATAGGAATATATAGGAAAAATCTTGAAAAATCTTCTTCTCAAGAACAACAAAGCCACAATTAGTCATATTGATATGGAATCATCCTGTAGTGTAAATTCAAGTTTGTTCAAATCATGACCCCCGGGGTTAGGGTGGGGCCACAATGGGTGATCAAAGTTTTACATAGGAATATATAGGAAAAATCTTTAAAATTCTTCTTCTCAAGAACAACAAAGCCACAATTAGTCATATTGATATGGAATCATCCTCAGGTAGTGTAGATTCAAGTTTGTTCAAATCATGACTTCCGGGGGTAGGGTGGGCCAGGATGGGGGATCAAAGTTTTACATAGGAATATATAGAAAAAAATCTTTACAATCTTTTTCTACAGAACAACAAAGCCACAATTAGTCATATTGAATATGGAATCATCCTTAGGTAGTGAAGATTCAATTTTTTTCAAATCATGATCCCTGAGGGTAGGGTGAGGCCACAATGGGGGATCAAAGTTTTACATAGGAATATATAGGAAAAATCTTTAAAAATCTTTTCAAGAACAGGAAAGCCATGATTAGTCATATTGATATGGAAGCATCCTCAGGTAGTGTAGATTCAAGTTTGTTCAAGGCATCCTCCAGTAGTAGGGTGGGGCCATAATGGGGGACCAAAGTTTTACAATAGAACATGTATAGGAAATATGTTTAAAAAATCTTCTTCTCAAGAACAACAAAGCCATGATGAGTCATATTGATATGGAAGCATCCTCAGGTAGTATAGATTCAAGTTTGGTGACAGGCAATCAAAACTTTACATATGAATATATAGGAGGAAAATCTGCTGACGAAGAACAACACTGCCATATTGACTCAGGTGAGCGTTGTGGCCCATGGGCCTCTTGTTGTCTGTCCTCATGCGATGTGCATTAACATTTGAACATTTTTAACTTCTTCTCTGAAACCGCTCAATCAATTTCAACCATATATTTGGCAGATGGCATCTATGGGTGAAAGGGAACAAAAATTGTGAATTTCATGGTCCCTGCCCCCCTGGGGCCTGAGGGGTGGGGCTAAAACCACCAAAATTAATACAATCTTTAAAAATCTTCTTCTTTACTCCTGGACATCAAGCAGTCAAACTGTTGGCATGATTGTGATAAGCATTGAGCCCTCTACCAAAATTATGAAATTCATGGGCCCAGGGTCAGGGGTTCTGGTGCTAGGGTGGGGCTATATAGATCATATAGTGAAAGTGCATTATTTCTTTGAAAATCTTCTTCTCTGCTCCTGGGTATTAAATAAACTAACTAAGTACATGGTTATGATGAGCAAGAGTGCCTCTTCCAAAATTGTGAATTTCATGGTCCCAGGGTCAGGGGTTCATGTGTCAGGGCGGGGTTCTATTGATTATATAGTGAAAATGCATAAATTCTTTGAAAATCTTCTTCTCTACTCATGGATATTAAATAAACTAAATAAGTACATAGTTATGATGAGCAAGAGTGCCTCTTCCAAAATTGTGAATTTCATGGCCCCAGCATCAGGGGTTCATGTGTTAGGGTGGGGCTCTATTGATTATATAGTGAAATGCATAAATTCTTTGAAAATCTTTTTCTCTGCTCCTGGGTATTAAATAAACTAACTAAGTATATAGTTATGATGAGCAAGAGTGCCTCTTCCAAAATTGTGAATTGTATGGCCCCAGGGTCAGGGGTTCTGGTAATAGGGCAGGGCTCTTTTGATTATATAGTGAAAATACATTAATTCATTGAAAATCTTCTTCTCTGCTCCTGGGTATTAAATAAACTAACTAAGTACATAGTTATGGTTAACATGGCTGCCTTTTCAGAAATTATGAATTTCATGGCCCCTTTGTCAGAGGTTCAGGTGCTAGGGCGGGGCCCTATTGATTATATAGTAAAATTGCATTAATTCTTTGAAATCTTCTTCTCTGCTCGTGGGTTTTAAATAAACTAACTTAGTGCATAGTTATGATGAGCATGGTTGCCTATTCCAAAATTGTGAATTTCATGGCCCTAGGGTCAGGGGTTCTGGTGTTAGGGCGGGGCTCTTGATTATATAGGGAAAACACGTAAATTCTTTCAAAATTTTCTTCTCTGCTCCTGGGTATTTTTCATACAAAGGAAGTACATGGTTATGATAAGGAAGAATACCTCTTCCAAAATTGTGAAATTCGTGGTGCCTGGGTCAGGGGTTCTGGTGAAAGGGGGGGGGGGGCTCTATTGATTATATAGTGAAAATGCATAATTTCTTTCAAAATATTTTTTTCTACTACTGGTTATAAAGCAAAGAAACAAATGTATAGTTATGATGAACAAGGGTGCTTATTCCAGAATTGTGAGCTTATGGCCAATGGGTCAGATGTTCTGGTGTAAGGATGGGGCTTTATTTATTTAATAATATAGTGAAAATGCATTTCTTTGAAAATCTTCTATGCTTCTAGGCATATTCCAGGCAAACAGAGAAAAGTTTTAATATGCAAAGGTATTTTTACCAGAATTTTGAACACCTGGACCATTTAATCAAGTGTTCTGGTCCTGGCCAGTGCTCTATTAACTTGTATTCTGCTGAGCAGAGTTATTCCCCTTTGCCATTCACCTTTGATAATAAATCACTGTAAATAATGTATTTGAATGCTTAATAGAATAAGAGAATTATGCAAGAATATCTATTGTATAATACAAAAGGTACTTTCATAGATTTAGTGATCAGGTAGACTTGGAAATAATAGATGAATAATAACTTATATTTTTTAATTGTTCTTCAAAGGCCAAGATAGGCCAATGTGAGAAGTAATAATATGGGGTTAAAAAATAGACCGTTTGTTAATCGTCTGCATGGTAATAGTGATAAATGGGGGACAGATAGATACTAGACCAATTATTTTGTTGATGCAAATCATACTATTTTTCTTGCTTTTGGGCAACAAAGCTTCATTTGTCAGTTTATGGATCCTCTTAATTGTTGTATTGTACTCATGTGACTGTTAAGGCCCTTGGGTCTCTTGTTCACTATTTTGTAATTATCTCCCCTTGGAAGAGGGCAAGGCCCTTCAATTGAACAAACTTGAATCCCCTTCACCCAAGGATACTCTGTACTAAGTGTGGTTGAAATTGACCCAGTGGTTCTGGAGAAGACGATGAAATGTTGAAAAGTTAACAACGATGACAGACAACGGGCAAATTTTGATCAGAAAAGCTCACTTGAGCCTTCGGCTCGGATGAGCTAAAAACAATAGGACCATGTTGATTGTATTGATACTGTAGATCCTAAATATACGTGAAGAATCAATTATTGCATAATTTCACAAGAAGCACCACTTGTGAAATAAAATTACTTGCTTCTATTTTCATGGTGCTGAAATCCATGTAAAATCTCTTGATCAACTGTCCACTTGCAAAATATTGTTCTCGCAATTTGATGTTAATGAGCCATTATGCGATATTAAGTACTCGAAAAAAATAAGGAATCTACAGTATTGTAGCAATTCAATGCTGTGTTGATTTAAGTTTGAATAAATCCTAACTCCTTTAGGCGACAAGGTCTACATTTTGGTATACATGATGGAGTCAAAATATTTATGAAATCTTGAAAAATCTCCTGGGCCAAAGTGACTCAGGTGAGCATTGTGGCCCATGAATTTGCATTTCTATAAATGTGCTAAATGTAAAAAATCCATAAAAATTACTAACATGATTTAAAATGATTCTTAAAATATGTCCAAGGGACACTGGACAAAGCAGCTTATATGAGGGTTGTCCCACTAAATCATGTACATCTAAAATTTGATTATCCTACTTGGCCCAAAATTTCACATTATATGTACATTTATTTCATTATTAAACCCATTTTTAGCATGCAAAGAAATATTTTATGAAATAAAAAAATACCATATAAGTTGAATTTTTAGCGAGACACAAAAGCGATTTGTCCATAAAACTTAGTATCTAATTTAAGCGAGAAGTATTTTTTACGATTTTATGGTTCATAGAAAGATACCGGTAACCTCCAATTTGGAAAAAAATGTTAGCGATATTTAATTTTAGCGATCTCAACACCCTCACTCAAAATACCAAAATTGAGTCCTCACTAAAATTTCTGCTTATACGGTATATTTGAGTACAGGTTAAATTTTTAGAAAAAGTTAAACTTGCATGCATGGTTATGGTAATAAGTTTGAATTAGTGCCTCTGAACAAGGTAATTTAGATGGACAGCATTACAATGAGTCTAATTATAAATGAGCTTGAAAGGGAAAAGCTGACAATGGATATATTTTTCTTTTACACAGGCATGTGATAAATATAGTAACCCCTATGGACCCGATGACTGACTGGGTTGTAGCTGCTCAAAAGAATGGACGTCCAGTAACAGAGGAATTCAGCAGTGATCCAGCAATCCCACAAACTCTGGAGGGTCTCCTCAAAGCAAGGCCTATCCCTGAGATCACAAAGCATTAAAATACTTCAGATTTAGTCATGAACCATTTCTGTATTACTGAGTTTGGTGCATTTGTATAACTTTTTGGGTATATTTTCTCTCTGTGCTCAGTCTCATTCATATTTGACTCCCAGAGTGTCATTAAGTAAATGGGGAGTGATGTTGAATAAAATTTATTTTTAACACAAGATAAAAACATTTCTTAAAAGTTTAATGCTTTACTAACGTTAATTTAACAAAAAAAAAAAAAACAACCGTTTTTAATTCACTATAATTTAGTTTCTATGGGTGAAAATTAGCATTGACCTTGATCAAATATTTTTACGCAGTGAATTTCTTCTCCTATTAGTCCCACTTTGCTCACCTGTTGGTGGATAAAAGTTCAGAATCATCTCAATTCAATATTCTCATACAAAACTCAAGGATGACATTTACTCAGATAGCAACAAAATTCCAGTGTCAGCTGGGAAGTAAAAACCACCTTAGTATTGTACATTTTAGACCTAATATTCGGGTGCTATTTTTGACTTTCACTATGTAGGTCAATGAACTAACTTTCACGCTTGTGGCATCTGAGTATTTCTCAAAAGAAGTTGGAAAATCCCAAAATATTTTGCACTACCAGGGACTACGACCAAGATTTTTTTCCTAAGTAAGTAATAAAACTTTTTGGATAATGAAATATAATGAAAAATTGAAGAAAAAAAGAGTTGCTAAATAAAATAAACAATGAGCAATAAACTTCCCTAATGACTCTTAAGTAGTCCAGTTCGAATTTCTTCTGTCTTTTTTTTTTAATTCATCCAGGGAAGTATGTCCCTGATTTAATCCACTTTTAAACTAATATTACAAGACACTGAATGGTGGAAACTTGAAACTATTTTTAGCTTCAGTTTACTTTTATTGCCCTTATTCTGTTGGTGTTAAAATTATATAAGGTCAATGATCAAATTCCAATTGAAATAACGCATGAGCTTGAACAAACATAATATTTGCAATAATTATAAATGAAAAAAATATTGGAACTATAAATTATTAGGATGACATCGTTTGAAAAAAATGAAAATTAAAAATTCAGTCCAGATTTCCTCTGCATTTTCTTTATTTTACATTTGACATTGCATATTTTTGTTAAATTTGTAACAAGAAAGGAGAAAATGTATGGCTGGACCGGGAATCGAACCTGGGACTCATGCATCACTAGTCATGTGCTTTACCGACTGAGCTACCCAGGCCGATACCCATGGCCCAAACCATTATAAATTGTAAAATAACTTTTGATATTAATTTATTACATGGTAATTCTGTCCATTTTGAACATTTTTTATTTATTTTATTACACTTTATAGCAATCCATTTCGTCATCCTTGAGGTCAGTGTGTTAGGGCTTTCTGGACTGCATTTCCTTTTTCCCTTGTCCAGTTCATACTTCACCTATAAGTATGTTTTTAAGTTGAAAGATATGAGTAATTAATATGACTTAAGATTTTTAATCAAAGGACAACAAAGAACTTCTTAAAATTCTTGGTCATGACTTCATTTTTTTTTTCTCATGACCCAATCTTCTGTGCACCCAGCTTTATGTGTAATAAAGAGGACTCGTTATTCTGACTTAGAGGTCAAGGACAGTTCTGAGGATTGTGTTAATTCCTTATTATTCAATATTCTTTCTTTGTGGGCCACTTTCAAATGCATTCATATAAAGTCCTCTAGAAAGTTGTGCAGAGACTAGAATGAAAATATTTTACCTTGAAGGTAAATCCAACTACTTCTTTGTCCAGTCAATGGCATTCTCTACTGTCTCCTTAGTATTTTACTATCGAGGGCTTCGAGTTTGTTTAACTACTGAGAGATGTATGTGTTGTTTTTTAATTAATATGAACTTGCATTCAATTTCTGTTGCAGTTTAACTGTGGTATTGTGTGTAAACATATGACTTTGTCTATGATCCTATTGAGAGCTACAGCAAACACCATACACACTTTTTGTATTATCTTGATTTAATTCCTAAAAGTGATATTTATAACAGGTGTGAGATGATTTTCAGTGTTTTTTGTTTGTTTGTTTGTTTGGCTTTTACCTATTATCTATACCTTAGAATGTTAACTAGCATTTATTACCATTCCTGTGCCTTGCTTTAAGCAGTTTCAGGTTGTATATACTTTCCAAAGTTTCTGTGATATTTATAAACTTCATTCGATATTTATACTTGTTAAAAAAGATGTTTTAATGGCATTATGAAGGTATAGAATGTAACTGTTTATTAGAAATTCTTTATATTTGGCATTTTTTGATGTTTTAATACTTATTATTTGTATTTTATCACACTATAATACAACTTTCAACAATTGTATGAAAACGTAATTCTTGTGCTAAATGAAATACATGTATTTTTAAACATTATACAGAAGCAAAGGTAAAACGAACAGCATCATAGTGTAGAAAACGTATTTGACTTCCGAAGTGAAGTGTAAAATATTTACATACAGAACCAGTTTGCTAGAATGCCATTTTATAACAATGTAGTTGTAGAGTGTTGTAAACATGGTCAGATAAGGCTCAATTCAGTGGCGATGAATTTTCATTTTTTTCTTAATTTAAATCAATGTAGAACGTGTCCATTTTTCATACTCAACACTCACCATCATACTTTATAACATAGCCACATCAGATAAACACATGATTGTTTTTATATTTTTCATTTTTAGTAGTAATTATGGTACAATTAAATTCAGAAATAACTTTACCAGTTTTGTTTTATTTATAGGGCATTTTCCTATTAAATAAAGCAGTTTATGTCAATATTCTCAATCACCAGGTATTAACTTTTTTCATTCATCGTCATCATCATCACTAGATTCATCGGAAGACAAAATGACTGGCTGAAGATCAGGACGGAAGTTGTCTGCTGTTGTCACGAGGTCACGGGAACTGAAATCGAGGTTGATATTTTTGAAAGTCAAACTCTTTAGTTCTAAGTTTCCAACGTGCCGATTGTATTCGTCCTCTGGCGTTCCGGGTACAGTGTCATATCTATTTTCAGACATTTCTTTCATGGCTGCCCGAAGCCTTAGAGTATAATAATCCCTATCTTCAATATCATCGACAACAAAATCGCTCAGGGCATCTACAAACTCTTTAATTTTGTCATCGTAATTAAGAGACTTGATAGCTTTTAACTGAAGGTCTATAATGTCTACTTTCTTCTCATCTTCAAAGAAGCTGGATGATTTCTTCCTGTGATTTTCGGTTTCCGACATCCGCTGTGTTTCGGGTGCGTCTTGCGTTACCTGTAGCAATAATGAAGGTCTGCAGGTGTGTGGTCGTGTCTTGCTTTTCGGTAATTCATCCAAATGCGCATGCATTTGTTTATTTTCTGGGCTCTTTCCTTTTGTAGAAATATTCATATGAATGTATTTTTGAACAGGCAGGGTTTTAACGCCGACTTCAATCTGGCGCGGTAGTGGCTGACTTCCGGTGGTTGAGGGTCTCTCTAGAGGTTTTGGTGGAGGAAGTGATGACTCTGGTGTAATGCCAGTGGATCTTGATGTCATACCTTCTGTGATGGAGTTGCTCCTTCGTCGGAGACCTTTCTCCTCCAGAAATACATCATCGATAAGGCCATTCTTCCCAACTTTTGATGTGGTAACCTTAATTGCTGGTGGTTTCTTTTGCCTGTTTTGTTTTTTGTCCTTCCTTTTTCTGTTATTTTGAAGCTTTGTAAGGAATTCGTAATCTTTTTCGGCGCTTCCGAAATCAGTGTTTAATCCATGAAGCTGCTTGGCACGAAGTTCCCTCTCGGTTTCTTTGTTTCCATGCAGACGAGCCTCACATAGCTTAGATCTGTAAAGTTTATCCTGGAATCTTTTAAACAACACTTTCTGATCTATCTTGATTCTGTGAATTACATTCTTCTCGCTCCTCTCCAGAACATGCAATTGCTTTTTTAACAAAATATCCTCTTTCCAGTTTGCATAATGTACTGATGGTGATTTCTCTGCGTTGTCACCTGCCTTCCATCCTGGCATGTTGAAGCTTTTCGGGCTTCGCAAGTTTTGCTGAACATTTGTACATGAATTTCTTTAATCAGCTGTGTAATCATGTGTTCTGTAACCAAATCGTATACCTTTGTTCCTTATCGTGCAAAACGAATGTATTCATTCCACTTTCATTTAATTTATGCGGCCATGGAAGTTCAATGATAACAACTGCTTTCACGTACTTTTAATTATCTTTAAGTCAACATGACTACGATATGCCTCGAATAACTACCGATCTATAGCCTTCTATAGAAGTGTACTTGTGTTTTACACTTCAGCTGCGTGCTTTCAGACATACCCCAAAAACTAACTTACGCGAAAAAAATCTAAACGTTCTATTCTTGATAATCTTATCTTCTAATTTATATGTTGCAATTAATTTTATTTCCAGCATTTTTGAAGAAGAGAGCAAACAAATAGTACCCAAACATTTATCAAACTTAATCCAGTGTTTGATTGTAAAGAGCTATTCGTATCGAACGTTCCCGGGCACCTAACGCTTCTCTCCGTCCGGTTACAAAATGTGTTAAGTTGTGCTGCCAGTCTGGTACTCCCAAGTTCATATACAGTGTTATTCAGCCAGCACGAGCCTGTTAATCCCATACCAAAAATAGTACCACTATGCAAAATTCCTTCTATTTTACAGTCGCATTCGATTGGATTTCCAGAGACATCGACATAACGAAACGAACACAGGGGAGCGCTGACGATGAATGAAATGTCTGATAAGTTATTGTTGTCCAGGTCGAGGCCAATTGGATTTTGCAGTCTTGAGAAGGCCGAGGAGGAAATGTTTTGTAAACTATTGTTGCTCATAACAAGAGTTTGAACCGATAAGACAGAGAGATCAGTATCAAATGTTTTACTAGAAAAATGATTGTGAGAAATATCCAAGTATGATAACATTTTTAGAGGCGATAATGCTGCTACGGGAATTCCGGACACCCCGGTGTCTCTGAGAAACAGTGTTTCTAGTGAATGTTCCAAACCTTGAAAAGTATCTTCGCTAAACTCTAGAGGATTGCTGTCGAGTTCTAACATATTTAATGCGTATTCGCCATGAAAAGCGTGTTCGATTGTTCTAATGTTATTTTTCGAAATTTTTAAAAACAGAAGCTTCCTCAATGGTCTTAGGGCAGCTGTTGGTATTTGACTTAGATAGTTTGAATAAAGTTCAAGTTCCTTAAGGCTGCCTTCTAATCCTATGAAAGCGCCAGCATCTATCGAGGACAACTCATTGTAGTTAAGTATTATTTCTTCCAAATGCATCAAAGTAATAAAGCTGTTCGCTTCTATAGTTATAATGTCGTTCCCACCAAGAAATAACCTCTGCAAGTTTTGCAGTAGTAAAATTGCAGTAGGCACTTTTTCTAGATAATTATATGTCAAATCAAGTTCCCGTATTGATTCCAATCCAATAAACGCCCGCGGCCCTATTGCTGTAATACCACACGATCTCAAACTTAGCTTCCGAAGCGACTGTAGCCACAGATCTCTGAAAATGTCGTTGGGTAGAATCTGGGAATCGGTTTGGTAATTAAGTATCATATTTGAATCCAGAACAAGTTCTGTTAAAATGCTTAAATTCTTTATGAACATTAATCCTTCATTGATGGCGATTCGATTTCGCGCCAAATTAAGCTTTGTCAATTCCCCCGCGAGATGGGAGAGCGTCCCGATGCTCTCAGTCTGTAACGTGTTTCTGCTTAAGTCCAGTTCCATTATGTTCCAAACGTCAAAATCAGATATAGAGAGAGAGGAGATGTCATTTCCGTTCAGTAAGAGCCTTGTCACGTTTTGTTTTGACAGGGATGATAAATTAGGCATCATTTTTAGATTTGCAAAGCTGCAGTTGACGATGGACATCCTTTCATTGTTCCACCAGACGATCTCGTGGCACGTGCATGACGTCTGCTTCTCTAGAACGGGACAGCGAAAGACAGCCTGAGTGAAGAAGAACACCAGCGAAGCGGTCACAAAGTGCAACAAATTCATTGTCGGGGGGTCTGAAAACAAGCGAAATGAACAGTAATCTAGCTACTTACAGACGGGTAGCCGAATTAAGCACATTTGAATCTTTTTTCTTATAAATTGGTTGTAAAATCAAAGACTTACCCTCTGTAGCATTTTATTGATGTCTGGCACATTTAAAGTCATTATTTTTCCATAAATCTAAAAAAAAAAAAAAGTACACATGTATTTTGATGATTGTGAGTTGTCAAGTACAGTCTTTGTTAAAGACCGGCATACATTTCCTTCACTGTGTTCTATAAACTTATACATATTATTTTTTATGATGTCACATGACAAATAAATAATAATACTATGCCGTCAACGGATCATAACCAATAAAAATAAATCTTTTAAATTTATTACATCCATACATAGAAGAAAAAAGTATCGATTTTAAACTGCAATCAAACCATTTGGGTGATATCGACATGAAAGCGCTCTGATTTTTAAATTGTTCTGTTGCACTTTCTATTCTACCATAATACATGTACATGTACATCCCATCCATAACATTGCCTCAGTAACTCTAAAAATGTTATGAAATTAAGTCTTATTCAATATTAATTTGACCTATACAAATTTTGTTACAGGTTGAAATATTCTTTTTGAAATTAGAGTCCATTTATATGGTTCATTGATATTGTTAAAAACTTGGACAAAAAAATATACGTAAATTGTTTTTACAGATGAGTGCTTACCTTACTTTGTCGTGTGGTCATAAGTAAAGCTCCTCAATTACACGTGTGTACCTCTGCACGCGCATTACTCGTATACATTGGTAACTGATCGCAGTTTTTGAACGCTTAGGGAGTCTCATTCACATGCGGCGGTGATTAAGAAACCATCATCGGAAAAAAAATCTGAAAAATCCGATGTGAATGTTTCCCATCTGTTACCAAGTTTCAGAAACCATCAACAAAAAAGACTTGCATAAAGAGCATGCAGCCGTTTACATTTTATTATTGAATTGTGGTGACTTTGACTTGATTTTTCATATCCACCAATCAACTGTTGTGAATTTTTTAAGAACATTAATGAATTTCCCTCACGTTCACAATAAACGCACACTTGCATGTAGAGGTCATGTTAAAGTATAGCATCTGTCGGTGTAAGATTCCAGTTGCATTCAATCCATATTAATTCTCTTTGAAGAAAAACCAATAACTGTTTTCCTCCGGGCGAAAATATTATTATAGTCTGACAAATTTGAAGGCGTAAAAAGATTCATTTAAATGTAAAAATTAGTTAAATTACTGTTAGAAGATTAAAAGAGTTGCACACCGTAAATTGGACTTGATAACTTAATGACTGATTGAAGTTTATTATTTTTAATGTTGTGAAATTTAATCGTTTTATGGCACAGCGTTATCAAAAATCCACCAATCAAACGAGGTTTTTGGAAATGTAAGAGATCAGGAAACTCTGATTGGACGGTTCTTTGAGATAGAAGTGACCACCAGGCAAAAACTGTATTGTCTTGTCTCCTGAAGTTACATCCTTCCAAGCTAAAATAAAATAAAAAGGGCAAAAACAAACAAAGCTTCACCTCCAAGAGAAGGAACAACAAGACAAAGTACAAAATGTGTTTGTGTTCATGGGATTCTATGATAAATGTGTGTTCCCTACTTCTCTTGTTTGGCCGCTTTGTTGGTTTCTGGGGATAGTTCTCGGCTTAAACTGAGATAAATGAACTTTTATAACAATTCTGTGTATGGAGGGTCTAAAGGACAATATTTAAACCATTTGATAATTTTTATGCCCCGCCATGAATATGGCTGGGGCATATAGTGTTTGTCATGTCCGTCTTCCGTCCTTCTGACCTTCCGTCACACTTTGCGTTTAGCAATGTTCAAAGCTCAGTTTCAAAGAAACTATCCAAGATATTTTTATCAAACTTCATATGCTGATAGATATTGATGAGAGCTATGCAACTGCATCAATATTTTTCGACCTTGACCTTTCCTTTGACCTTGACCTCACTTTTCTTAAATTGGTGTTTAGCTCAGTTTTAAAGATACCATTCAAGATAGTGTAATCAAACTTCATATGTTGATATATACTGATGTAAGCTATTCAACTGCGTCAACATTTTTTGACTTGACCTTTCTTTTGACCTTGACCTCACTCTTCTTAAATTAGTGTTTAACTCAGTTTTAATGAAACCATTCAAGATATTTTTAACAAACTTCATATGCTGATACATACTGATGAGAGCTATTCAACTGCATCAATATTTTTGACCTTGACCTTTCCTTTGACCTTGACCTCACTTTTCTCAAATAAGTGTTTAGCTCATTTTAAAGATACCATTAAAGATAGTGTTATCAAACTTCATATGCTGATACAAACTGATGAGAGCTATTCAACTGCATCAACATTTTTTGACGTTGACCTTTTCTTTGACCTTGACCTCAGTTTTCTTAAATTAGTGTCAAACTTCATATGCTGATACATACTGATGAGAGCTATTCAACTGCATCAATATTTTTTGACCTTGACCTTTCCTTTGACCTTGACCTCACTTTTCTTAAATAAGTGTTTAGCTCAGTTTTAAAGAAACCATTCATAATATTTTTATCAAACTTCATATGCTAATACATACTGATATAACTTTTTCAACTGCATCAACAATTTTTGACCTTGACTTTTCCTTTGATCTTGACCTCACTTTTCTTAAATTAGTGTCAAACTTCATATGCTGATACATACTGATGAGATCTATTAAACTGCATCAATATTTTTTTTCACCTTGACCTTTCCTTTGACCTTGACCTCACTTTTCTCTATTTGTGTTTAACTCAGTTTTGAAGATATCATTCATATTATTTTTATCAAACTTCATATGTTAATACATACTGATGTAACCTTTTCAACTGCATCAACATTTTTTGACCTTGGCCTTTCCTTTGACCTTAACTTCATTTATTTTAAATTAGTGTTTAGCTCAGTTTTAAATAAACCATTCAAAATATTTTTATCAAACTTAATATGCTGATACGTATTTATGAGAACTATTCAACTGCATCAAAAACGTTTGACCTTGAAGTTTTCTGGGACCTTGACCTCATTTTACTTAAATTTGCATTTTGCTTAATTTTAAAGAAACCATTTAAGATATATTTATGTGAGATTATGCACTTATACATAATTTGGTGAAAATTTATCATCTATATCCAACTTTTTAGATTTCAATTTCAATTTTAAAGAAACTATTCAAGATATTCTCATCAAATTTCATACACTAATACAAATTTTCATGTTGCATTACTAATATACCCTCGGCAGGGCATTCATGTCCTATGGACATATTTCTAGTTTTCTTACCTTCTAAATTGTGCTTAACATCATTTTCACCATCGAATAAATGAAGAGGACACGAGAAGGGTGGATCTTGTCCTACTGGAGAACTAAGCATGAACAAAATAATTCGGCTGATTATGTGCATGTTAAAGAGTTACGTACTGAAAAGGGATTTTTTTAAAATATTGGAAATTATTTAACGGGTATCATGTTGTTTTTTTTTTCAAAGCAGCAAATTCAAGACTGATAAATTTTACTTGAAACCCTCCATCATGATGTAGTCAGCTCTGAGTGGGGGAAGGAAAAGTTTCATCATTTCGGGGTCTGATAGCACCTGCTCAGGTGTTCCCCCTGTGAAGGTACAATGTCAAGTTAATGATATGTATATAAAGAAAAATACATTTAAGTAAAAATTGCTCATCGGTATTCTTTATAGATATTTAGCAGAGAAGAAATATATTATACCTAGCTTTTTGAGATATTCTACAAATTCTGCATCGGTCATATCTTTAACTTTAGGTCCCGAATGTGTCCTCTCGGGGGCCTGAAAAAACAACAATTTTTTAATGATATGTAGTTGCATTTGTTGATTTTTTCTAGTGTCTAGATCAGACAAATTTTAATTTACTAACATGTGGTGCAGAAATCCCAGAGCAAAACATCATCAAGGGTTCCTTGTTGTATACTCTTTTCATCAACAGAGCTGTCTCAAAACTAAACAGCGCTCCCATGCTGAAAAGAAAGCTCAATCGAAACTTTAAAGTGCATATTATGTCACAGAAAATACAGTACGATGGTTACTAAACAAATTTGATAAAGATTAAATACGATACCTTCTTGTTGATTAAAAGGCATTTATATTTTTGTTTCAAAGATATATGTGCATGTATTTTAAATCAACTTTACATAATCCAATGAGCATGTACCTGTGTCCCCAAAATACAAGATTTTTTGTGCTGTATTTGTTGTGTATAGCTGAGCATGTGTCTTGTACTATCTGCTTAGCATCTGAATTACAGGATTCTCGAAATCGGGACTCGCGGCCAGGGAGAGTAATCCCGCAAACTAAAAATTAAACAGATCTTTTTAGATAACCTGATCCAGGGGTTCGAGAGAACTTATCTTGTCTGGCTGTCCTAACATCTGTCTGTATTTGTTATGTGTTGCCTGTAAACTTTTTACGATTTGAACCATTTTCTCCGAAACCACTGGGCCAATTTCAACGAAACTTGCCATTTGCCACAAGGCGTTCCCTTCTAAAGGAAATTCAGATTGTTTAGATGAAAATACACAGTGTTGTGTTCAAAATTTTCGTGTGAGTGAAGAAAAAAAAATCTTTTTTATAATCTGAACAAGAACAGCGTGGCTGTTTACTCAGGTGAGCGTTGTGGCCCATTGGGCTCTTGTCTGTTGACATCATATCACCTGTACAATTAATTCAACACTTACATACAACAAAATTAACCAAGATCAAACCTATAATAAAACCCAGTTTCAGAGTTGTTTTATAGTTGTAAAATCAAAGTAAATTCTCTTTGACAAAATGGTTTTAAATAGCCTTGGAAGGTTTAATCTCTTACCTTCCACAAAATCTGGACTCATTTTTCCCCATTGCGCGTAAAAATTAGATCCTCCTCCGGCCCAAGGAAAACAGATTAAAACATAGTTTGCATCTGGTTTGGCAAACCGGCAATTTAGAAACTTGTCAACCATTCTGCACAAAAGCAACCATACACAGAGTTAAAACTGCCAATGTTAATCATGAAAAAGGCTAAAAATGATCCACTTTTAATTAAGGCAGTGCACATTCACCAAAAGAGGGGGGGGGGGGGGATAGCATCATTATTATTTTTTTATTTAAAGTTTTTGCTTCCTTGTGAAACTTTTTATTGGTGTGAGGTATAGTTTACGAATTCTAAACATTTTTTTTCTCAGGAAAACTTAATATACACTTTTCCTATTAAGACAATTTTAGCATAGAAAAGTATATGTTTATAAATGCTCTTGTATTAAGAAACTCTTTGTAGATTCCGAATTAGTGCACACTTCCGAAGAGCTGAAAGAGGCTGATATGGATTTGAGAAAATTTGCACTGATCAGAAAATTCCTCTGGAAAGAAACAAAAGAATGTGAGAATCATGTAACTTTTAAAATTGAACAGAATATGAATTTTTTTTTCAAATCAGGATTTATATAGTTAATGAAAAAAATCTATAATTATCAAAATGTATGGTGTCCCGATAGGGCCATTTGCAAAAGTGTAACAGCGCGTTCGGAACAATCGCTGGCGCAAAGTGACAAAGCGCTAGCGCGTTGTTCACAACACACCGTCGCGCTAACACACAACACACCGTCGCGCTAACACACAACACGCCGTCACGCTAACACAACTTTACACAATCGCGTTAACACGCAACACGCCGTCGCGCTAACACACAACACGTCGTTATGGTAACGCAACTTTACTCAACATCCCGTCGCGCTGACACACAATACATTGTGTAAAGTTGTGTTATATAGCGTGACGGGATGTTTTGTGTAAGAGAGACGGTGTTTTGAGTAAAGTTGCGTTAGCGCGACAGCGTGTTCTGTGTTAGCGCGACGGCATGTTTTGTAAAGTTGCGTTAGCGCGACGGCGTGTTTTGTAAAGTCGCGTTAGCGCGACGGCATGTTCTGTGTTAGCGCGACGGTGTGTTGAGTATAAAGTTGCCTTAGCGTGACGGTGTGTTTGTGTGTAAGCGCGCCGCCGTGTTGTAAACAACGCGACGGAGCCTTGTCATTTGCGCTAGCGCTTTGGCACTTTGCACTAGCGCGTTGTCACTAACAAAAAGCAACAATGCGTTCAAAACAATGCGCCGGCGCGTAGTGAACAAAGAGCTTGCGCGTTGTCACTTTGCACTAGCCCGTTTTCAATTACAAAAGTGCAACAATGCGTTAGAAATAACGCGCTAGCGCGTTGTTCCTAACGCGCTGTTACACTTTTGCGAATGGACCTATATCGGGACACCATAAAAATGAGTGAATATTTACCGGTAATTAGAACTTAAAAAAAAAGAGGCGATGTCATACTGCTTCAAAAAACTTTTCAAAAAAATAGTCTTCCAATAATTGAACTTATCTCTAAAAGAAGATTTATAACTACATCTGAATTAAAGATAGGTCTAAATGAATTAAAGGTAAGTACACCTATCTTTAAATAATGGAACCTAGGTTCAAAAAGAATTTTTAATTCCATTACAGATAGGTTCAATTCAATTACAGATAGGTTCAATTGAATTATACCTATTACACCTTTTTTAAATCCATTATACCTATCTTAAATTCTTGGTATTTGTATCTATCTTCAAATGAATTCTATTCGGCCTATACCTATCTTCAAATCAATTGTACCTATCTCCAAATGAATTAAAAATAGGTATAATTGAATTACATGATAGATTGGTATGAAATATTTCAGTTAAAATACGACCTAATGATAGGTTATGATTGCTAAAAATTTCATTATAACGACCATATAGATTCTATAATAGAATTTACGAAATGCTGACTCATAATATTGTACATATCTTCAAGTAATTGAACCTGTCTCCTGATGAATTGAAGATAGGTATAACTGAATTAAAGATATTCAACGTCCATTAAAATAATACAAATCGGGAGCAGAGCAAACATGGACCTCCAAAAATATTCCAAAGAATATTAAATTCTAAAACAATGGACAGCGTATGCAAAGTCCTTCTTTTTTACTAACATATCTGATGGCGAGGTATGTCTAAATGAATAAAGGACAGGTGTAAATTTTCTCTTTCTTATGTCATATGCCCTCTCAAACTGGATCCAAAATTGGAATAAACTGTTCAATGTGTGCCCCCTCCCCTCCCCCCCCCCAAGTGTTAAAGCTATATACTGAGTATGGCCTATCTGAGCTAAAACATGATAATACGAGATTGAGTGTAGATATGCGTGCTTTGAAACGCAGTTGATTTAAATTGTGTAATTTTCAAAAAAGTCCTATCTTTATATATAAAGTAATAATATTAAATTATTAATACTCTAGTACAAATATACATGTTACAAATCTTTGTACGTTTGCTAATGAAATATATGGAGATAACGAACAGTATTCAAGCTCAAAAGTCCATTATACAATACAAAATAGGAGCAGAGCAAACACGGACCTCCAAACATCAGAGGTGGGATCGGGTGCCATGGAGGAGTGAGCATCCCCTGCCGACCGGTCACACCCGCCGTGTGCTCCTTGTCATGATCGGGAAATAACGGAAAAATCCGCTGACAATTCAGTGTGTAAATAATGGCCTAACAATTAGTATGAAAAACGTCAGTCAGCATTTGACTCAATGATAAATTGTATTTGCTGACAAGGTCATTGTATCGACCATAGAACTTACGAAATGATGACTTTAAACGAGACAGCTGATATTCTTGTTTCATCAACTTCTTTGTCAATAATTTACCTCGTTTTAGAAATTGTGCATACGTAGAGCATGCTCTTGCGTATCGAATCAACTGAGAGATATAATATACCCCGTATGCAGGTGATGAAGGTATATTGCTGCAAAAGTAAGGGAAGTTGACGATTGAAAAGTTAAAGTCATCACGTTTATCATAAAGCTTGGTTGTTAGATTACCATTAACGTCTTTTTCAAGTAAAATATCCAAATATGAAACAACTAATTATATATATATATATATATATATATATATATATATATATATATATATATATATATATATATATATATATATATATATATATATATATATATATATATATATATATATATATATATATATATATATATATAAAGCATTTATTATTGGTAATCCCCATCTGCTATAATCATCATCATCTTCTTTAGTTAGTTTCTTTTCTTTTCTCTTAATATCGACATGTTGCTACTATCAATTTTGAATTTCTTCTTGTGTATATAATTCTTTACTTGTATGCCCTGAGGGGTCCCAAATTGGGATCAATAAATCTTATCTTATCTTATCTAAAGAAAAATATCAAATAGAAAGATATTTTAAATTTTGGTTATCTGCATCCTCGCAAGCCAGGGGTCCTGAGTCAACACGTTGCCGTTGGACCAACGGCAACGTGTTGACTCAGGACCTCTGGCTTGCGAGGATGGGTTATCTTATTCTCTATTGAGAAGTTGCTGGCTCGTTTAATACCTCAACTTGAGGGGGAGTAAACGAGCCAGCAACTTCTCAATAGAGAATAGGGTTATCTGAACTTATCAAAAATACGCCATATTTGACAAACGAACTTTCTTCTTGTATCCCAGCTGTACATAACTAAAAAGTAATTTCCTTATCAATCTTTTTATTTAAAATAATAATAATTAAATATTTCTTTTAATTACATGCATGATGCACGTTAATGCAATTCTATAAATAGATACGGTGCTTTCCAAAATATGAAATCATTGGAAATTTCCTTCCATTCGTATCTCTCTTGAGTTTTCAAAATAGCCTAACTGAATGACGTCAGGAAAGATTTAATGGTGGCAACAACATTAGAAACTTGAAGAAGCATTATTTTCTGTCGAATATGTAGACCCAGCGAGTCATGTGGAGGTGGATATGTGGGATTCCACGAGGTAAAAATTACAAAATTAATTTTTAACTTGCTAGAGTAAATGACGCAATACGAGCGGCCGTCCACAGTAACTGTAAGATTTCAAGGGCAATCAGTCTTGATGTGTTGATATCCAAGTGCGTTGTATTATCAGAACGTATTTACGAGAGAATAATGATTTATTAAAAATAAAATATTCTGTAATTTTGAGCGATAAATTTATCCCTTGACATTTACGTTTCATTGTTGAAAGAACACATTCCTGTGTTTGTTCTACAAAATGGCATTTGACCTACTTGTTTATATTTGTCCACAGCGTTACGGCAGCACCTGCATAATAAGAGACCCTACACCACCGCCTGTCTCGACGAAGAGCAGAACAAGAAAGACCAAAACAGAGTTTGTCACGCCACAAGGTTGGTGAAGCTGGTCAAAAATAACTGCTGTTGCTTTTGTCACCTTTGAATGCACATAAACCGGAAGTAAATTATATTTCAATAGATAAGAAACCCTTTAAAGTTTCCAAATAAGTTAGTTTCAAAAGCCATACAGACATTGATAAACAAAAATATAGTCCAAAAATATATACTAAATAAAAACCATTGCAGGGTTTGTAGATAATAGTTTTTATTCAAATACAATGACAAAAAGCAGAGACATATAATAATAATAAAATAATTATATGTCTCTGCAAAAAAGTAACTAAAAAATTGGAGAACCTGTTTCCTATTCTCATATCATTTGCAGAAAAAATAATTTCCATGGTAACCATAGAAATGACCAGGGAGGGGAGAGGGAGTGGTGGAATAGCAAGCCTCGATGGAATTGCTTCACTTCTTCGGACACACTAGGAGTCTTGGGATTGGTTAGTATCGTGTCCAAGAGAATTTGTCCCAGTTTACTACTTTATAATTCAAGTTTTCAAGCCTTCCATTTATAAACATTGTTAATGTTGTATCTCCTTTCAGGGTGCAGTTGTATATCTTAGCCTTCAGATTTCAAGATGTCACCAAAAACTTACAGAGAGGAAGGAGAAACCTGTGCATGCAAGGAATTGTCTTCTGTCCCAGATATCACAAATTGTATACTGTCTGCCGGCCACTGCAAGGAGGCTTGGGGACCAGAAAGGACTGCTCCAAGATAGTGGAAAGGCACCGATAGAGGGGGTAGGTCATATAAGGGACCTCTGACACAAATTAATTCTCCAGCAAGATAGTTTAGCAATTTTTGTTTCAAATATATAACATTAAGGGGAGAACAATTATTTGCATTTATAAGCATATTGGTCATTTATATTGTGGGATTATTATTTGCTTAGCAATGAACACAAACTATCAGTTAACATTATCTGGTACATGTATAATAGGAAAACAAAGATGATCCACTGACAAAAGTAATGAACGACTTTGAAAATGTGGTACAGAAGTATGTGGCAATAGCTAAAAATATTCAAGCCCAACGCAAAGCTAAAACAGGGGAGATGACTGAGGCAGTAAGCATGTGGAAAGAGGCTAGCGATATGGGACACTCCCGATCACAGTTTAACCTTGGCCTCAGCTACGAGACAGGTCAAGGGGTCACAAAGGATGTAAGAAAGGTACGTACTTCATTTTAGCTCCAGTTGTCAATAGCACAGTTCTTTCAAAAAAAAAAAAAAATATTTGTTTGAAGCACCATGTAAAAAAAAATAAATAGATGATTAGGACTTAAATTGTGAGTAAAGTGTCTCAGTGTCCATCAGTGTTTGTTAGAATTTAATCTGCACAAGAGACTTTGAGAGGGTTATTCATATTATGGTAATGTTTGTTTAGGCTGCAAAGTATTACAAGTTAGCAGCAGCAGAAAATCACCCACAGGCCATGTATAATCTGGCACTCATGTACCAGGAGGGGGAAGGGGTGTCACAGAACGAGGACAAAGCCATCAGTCTTATGGAGAGAGCAGCTGAACTTGGACTAGCTCAGGTAGTTATAGACAACAAGGATCCGTTGTCTACTATTGATAAATAAATTAAGATTCTGAAAACACATCAAATTACATGTACTGGTATTTGGATTTGACTAGGTATTAAGAAAGAGATGCTTTGTTGTAGGCTCAGACATACCTTGGTGTCCATTATACAGAGCCAGATTCTCAGGACTATGGCAAGGCAGTGTCAAAATTCAGTGAAGCTGCAAAACAAGAGGTAGGTTTGCTTTCATCAATAAAGCTATTTGGAAAGTCCTTTCAATACTAGAGTATGTTTTTAAAAAAAATCTTTCAGAAATACAGTATCTTCAAATAAGTCATACTGACATGTAAAATGCAATACTCTGATATGATGAAGATTTTACATGCATGATTTTATTAGGTCACCTGAGTCACTCAGGTGACCTATTGCTATCCGTTTTTGTCCGTCGTCGTGCGATGTGCGTTAACATTTGAACATTTTTAGCTTCTTCTCTGAAACCACTCAACCAATTTCAACCAAATTTGGCATATAGCATCTATGGGTGAAGGGGAACAAAAATTGTGAATTTCATGGTCCCTGCCCCCCTGGGGCCTGAGGGGTGGGGCTAAAACCACCAAAATTAATGCAATCTTTAAAAATCTTCTTCTTTACTCCTGGACATCAAGCAGTCAAACTGTTAGCATCATTGTAATAAGCATTGAGTCCTCTACCAAAATTGTGAAATTCATGGCCCCAGGGGCAGGGGTTCTGGTGCTAGGGCGGGGCTATATAGATCATATAGTGAAAGTGCATTATTTCTTTGAAAATCTTCTTCTCTGCTCCTGGGTATTAAATAAACTAACTAAGTATATAGTTATGATGAGTAAGAGTGCCTCTTCCAAAATTGTGAAATTCATGGCCCCAGGGTCAAGGATTCTGGTGTTAGGGCGGGGCTCTATTGATTATATAGTGAAAAAGCATTAATTCTTTGAAAATCTTCTTCTCTGCTCCTTGGTATTAAATTCAGTAACTAAGTACATAGTTGTGATGAGCAAGAGTGCCTTTTCCAAAATTGTGAATTTCATGGCCGCAGGGGCAGGGGTTCTGGTGTTAGGGTGGGGCTCTATTGATTATATAGTGAAAATGCATTAATTCATTGAAAATCTTCTTCTCTGCTCCTGGGTATTAGATAAACTAACTAAGTACATAGTTATGATGAGCAAGAGTGCCTCTTCCAAAATTATGAATTTCATGGCCCCTGGGTCAGGTGTTCTGGTGTTAGGGTGGGGCTCTATTGATTATATAGTGAAAATGCATTAATTCTTTGAAAATCTTCTTCTCTACTCCTGGCTATTATTGAAACACATAAAAAACATAGATATGATAAGCAAGGATGCCTCTTCCAAAATTGTGAAATTCGTGGCCCCTGGATCAGGGGTTCTGGTGTTAGGGTGGGGCTCTATTGATAATAAAGTGAAAATGTTTTAATTCTTTAAAAATCTTTTTCTCTGCACCTGGGTATTATTTAAACAAACTAAGTACATTGTTATGATAAGCAAGGATGCCTCTTCCAAAATTGTGAAATTCATGGCCCTGGGGACAGGAGTTCTGGTGCTAGGGTGGGGCTATATAGATCCTATAGTGAAGGTGAATTATTTCTTTGAAAATCTTCTTCTCTGCTCCTGGGTATTGTTTAAACAGACTAAGTACATTGTTATGGTACGCAAGGATGCCTCTTTCAAAATTGTGAATTTTATGACCCCAGGTTTAAGGGTTCTAGTGAGGGGGGGGGGGGGGGGGGGCTTCTATTGATTATAAAGTGAAAAAGCAAAATTTCTTTGAAAATATTCTTTTCTGCTTCTGGTTAAAAAAGCAAAGAAGCTAAGTGTATAGTTATGATGAGCTGGAGTGCTTCTTTCAGAGTAGTGAATTTCATGACCCCTGGGTCAGATGTGCTGGTGTGAGGGTGGGGCTCTTGATAATATAGTGAAAATGCATTAATTCTATTAAATAATCCTGTTTGCTCCTTAGTGTTAAGCAGATAAACAAAGTGATTAGTTATGATGAGCAAACTTCTGGTCCCAGGGTCAGAAGCTCTGGTGTTTTTTTTTTTTTGGAGGGGGGGGGGGCTCTATTGATAATATAGTGAATCTGTAGTAAAAATGCATTATTTCTTTAAAAATCTTCTCCGCACCTGCGCATATCTGAGGAAAATAGAGTAAAAATTTTTATAAGGAAGGAAATTTTTACCAGATTTTTAAACATCTGGACCATTTGGTCAAGTGTTCTGGTCCTGGCCAGGGCTCTATTAGTTTGTATTCTACTGAGAGGAGTTATTCCCCTTTGCCATTTACTTTTGATAATTTATCACTGTAAATAATGTACTTGAAAGGTAAATAGAATAAGAGAATTATGCAAAAACTTTTATTGTATAATACAAAAAGTACTTTCATTGTTTTAATGATCAGATAGACTAGTAAGTAGTAGATAAATAAAAATGAGACAAAAATAACTTGTCTTATTAAATGTTCATCAAAGACCAAGAGAGGCCAATGTAAGAGATTTCAACAAGGGATTAAAATAGTACAGAAGCATTGATAATTTGTTAAAGAGGCTGGGGGGTTGTGGCCATTTTTAGACTATATTGATCTCCTTTAGAAGAAGAGCTCCATATGAAGATATAGAAAATGATAAAATTTTAAAACTAAAATTTTTGCAATTTTTCTTTGCCAAATGATAGTTGACAGCTTAAGATATCATATCTAAAAAATTAAGTTAAATCTGGTGGTTAATTGGTTAATTTGTTGACCCCCCAGCCTCCTTAATATACTGTATGGTGATAGTGATAAATGGGGAACAGATTAGAACCTAATTTATGAACTGTTAATGAATATTAAGACCAATTATTTTGTTGATCATGATCACCCTATTTTTTTTTTCTTTTGGGCAACAAAGCTTCACCTTTCAGTTCATTTTATACTCTATGCATAATGCAAATTATTGTATCATACTCAGGTGACCGTTAAGGCCCTTGGGCCTCTTGTTTAGTGAGGTTAAGATGTGAATTCTTGAAAAAAAGTTGGATAATAGATTCACTCTGCCATTTCCTTAACATACTAGCATTGAAGGAACCAAAGTTCAATTATTATAAAGTGATTTAATTTGAAACTTGAGAAAGAAGAAATCAAATGTAAACATGTATTTACTAACACTTGTAGTATCCAGAGGCTCAGTACTTCCTGGGAGTTTGCTATGAGCAGGGATGGGGTGTAGAAGTCAATGAATGCAAGGCGGCCCATTTATATTCCCAGGCAGCTCAGTCAGGACATGATGGAGCTCTCTATAATCTAGCAGTGTTTCAGGAATATGGAGTAGGAGGTGACTTTTAATTTCTGACATATTCTTTATTATTTTTAATTTTCTATGGTTTGTTTAATAGGCATTGTTTAATCATACCCGTTTTTCGTCTTTTGGTAGGATTACCAGAAGATATGCTGTCTGCAGAAGAGCTCTACAGAAAATCTGCCAAACTGGGAAACAAAATGGCTGAAGATAAAGTGATGGAAATTGAAGCAAAGAAAGTGGTTAAACCATGGAAGGGAGACTATCCTAGCTGTAAAATGGATGAATTCCTCTCTGATTTAGGTATACATTTTCTTTAGTTCAAATCAGTAGAGCTTCAGTCTGGTCAGCAACTTCTGGTTTAGTGCTTTAAAAAACTAGAAAACATACTGTAGAAGCATTATTTTTTATATCTTATTACTATGCATAGAATATTAGGTAAAACTTTTCTGATTTCAGATCACTTCTCAGGTCAAAATGAAAATATCAGGGAATCCCCAGTAAGAGAAGATCCAAGACCAATCATTCATAAAGAACAAACGTCAGAATTAAAGGGAGGTAATTCCAAGAATTCTTTCCACCTGTCTTCCTCATCTCCATCTCTGACAGAGTATGTCCGCCAACATCTGTCTCAGCTACAAATCGGAACAGCCCCTGGTCTTCTGCCTGTTCTCTCCTCCCAGGACATGGGGGGAGTATGGAACCCTCAGTTTGGGAGCCCCAGAATCTCCTCTCCAGTGGCTGCCCCCTCCCCTGTAGTGTTTACGTTGGGAGATGAAGACGAGGAGCTGATGACTGTTAATAGCCTCAGTACAACACAGACAGACATACAGTTCCACATCCTGGAGAAAAATCATCACTTCTGCTCCATGATACAGAAGAACTCCACCATGCCTGATCTTCAGAGTCAGGCTGTATCCTGTGTTTGATGACTTCTTACTTTTGTAAAATGATTTAGAATTTTCATAGAAGGAATTTTTTCGATATATCAAATGACAGTTAATATGCTTCTGTTTGCTTTTATCTGATAATATGTACATAGTCATTTTAGTTTGATAAGAAGACAATTTTGCTTCAAAGCTTAACCATTATATATATATTTTAAATTTTTTGAAAACAGTTTTTGCATATTTTTTATTTCTTCATACAGTACCCATTATATTTTTGGCAATTTTATATTGTGGCACATCTATAAGATTATTCTAAAGATCCATTGAATTTTTGTTATGTCATAAATGGCTTTATTGTGTTTAAACGATTCTCAAGCATGTTTAAGGCTTAAATTTAAGATTTTTTTTTCTTCCATTACAGCAATAATTTCTCTATAAACTGTATTGATTGATGTGTGTAGAGGTAGAATTTTTGAAATACCCGGTAATCTATAGATATTTCTTTACAGATTACTAATTTAAAAAATGTATGTTAAAATTCTCAGAAGAGACCAGTGTGCCAATGTTAACTTCATAGACAGCTTTATATAGACAAGTCATATGGTATTCTATTTTTATTTTTTATTAACCTAAATATTTGATATTGATTTATTTCATCATCAATTAGAGAAGATATTATTATGTTAATTCAAACATGATTTTGAATTCCAACTCAGACCTTAGAAACCATACGTTACAGTTCAGGTTATAATTTGTTATAATTTGTCATTTTTACAATTTTGTTATTCACAAAACTCAGTTTATCACTGATCATTCTACAAATACATGTCATTTAAGTAATACTCCCTTCATTGTAGAGAGAAAGTTACCGTACAGAATGTTGACCGTGTTTTAACAAGTTTGTGTTCAGTTGTTTTGTTTTTTAGAGTGCAAGCATTTATTTGGTGCATTACCATATATGATATCCATTTGTTTCACTAAATGTGCTGTTAACAATGTGTTCTGTACAAGCACAATAAACCTCACCAAGCAATGTAATAACATTAAACAGAGCTTTGTTTTGTTTTTGTTTTCCTAGAGAGGGGATAAGTAAATGTTTGTGTAAGAACATATAAATGTACATTTGTATGTACAGTAGAATTTGTAAATAAAAGCATCAGTTTTGTGTAGTTGGACTTCCTTGTTCATTTCTTGTAAGGAGAACAAAAAAAAGTCCCAAGACGTAAGAGCTTGTTCCTTAACATTTTAAATAATAGCCCTTGAACAAAAAACAGGTGGGGCTATAGGTTTTGTCTTTTAAACTAAACTTCACTTTTCGGGAAGATTTTTTGAGTTCGAGATATTCAGATATGGCACACTGCTAGGGTATGGCAGTAAATTCTATTGAAAATCTGTGTACGAGGAGTTTTGGGGAATAATGGACTGAATAACATGGATTTATTAATCACTTTGAGAATATTCTATCTAGTAAACATAGAAAACATAGGTAATCAAAGATTATGAAGCTCACCTCGTTGAATGTTATCTATAAGTAAGGCAAATGTCACATCATATTTTTTTTCTTGTTGGGGAACATCCCAAGATCAATATCCTTGCAAGTTTGGTTTAAGTAGGAATTGTAGTTACTTGGAAATCGACCTGCTCAAAAAACTTTTAACCTGTTTAGTAATCAAGAAAATTTTGGTCAGTTCTGACATCCAAAGCAAGTCTGAAATTTTTTATCCTTAGATGTACCATCTATGCAAGTTTAATCATAACAGGCCATAACATTATATAGCTACATCAAAAAAATTACCCTGGTCACTCATCTGGATAATGTTGGTCAGATTCAGAATCCAAAGCAAGTCTGGAAGTGTCCATCCCTAGATACATCATCCATGCAAATTTGTTTAAATTATGGCTAAAACAAATAAAATAAAAATCTAGGTCAGATCCAGCATCTGAAGCAGGTTGGTAAGTGTCCAGGTAGGGCTTATAGTTACTTGGGAACGGAACTGCTCCAAAATCTAAACCAGGCCTGGAGGTTATAAAACTTTTTGAGTACATACTCTGTGCTCAAACTCATACTCCGTTCTCTAACACCTTACTCATACTCAAATTTTATATACAAATTAGAGTGGAATTTTTAACATGAGTATGGTTTTGGAGTACGGAGTTTGAGTTTGAGCACTGAGTACATACTCAGAAAGTTTTATAACCTCCAGGCCTGGTCTCACATGTGGAAAATCTAGCTCAGATCCAGCATCCGAAGCAAGTGTGGTAGTGTCCATCCTTTGGATGCATCATCCATGCAAGTTTGGTCAAGGTAGGGCTTATACTTACCTGAGAACGGACCTGCTCCAAAAACTTTAACCTGGTTAGTCATCTGGAAAATCTAGGTCAGATCCAGCATCCGAAGCTAGTCTGGTAGTGTCCATCCCTAGATGCATCATCCATGCAAGATTAATCAAGGTAGGGCTTATAGTTACTTGGGAATGGACCTCCTCCAAAAACTTTAACCTGGTTAGTCATCTGGAAAATCTAGGTCAGATCCAGCATCTGAAGCAAGTGTGGTAGTGTACATCCCTAGATGCATCACCCATGCAAGTTTGGTCCAGGTAAGGCTAATAGTTACTTGGGAATGGGACTTAATTCTAAAACTTTAACCGGAACGCCGATGCCGGGGGTATAGCATAAGGTCATCTCGACTTCGTCATTTATGCAATTTTATCTGATAGGGCTTGCAGTTACTTGGGAATGGACTCATCTAAAAACTTTAAACTAGACTCACTCATCCAGAAAATGTAAGTCAAATCCAGCATCTGAGGCAAGATTGAGAGTGTTTGTCCCTTGATGCATCATCCATGCAAGTTAGGTTCAGATAGGCCTTATAGTTACTTGGAAACGAGAACTACTCCAAAATCTTTAACCTGGTCACTCATCCAGAAAATGTAGGTCAGATCCAGCATCCGAAGCAAGTCCAGTAGTGTGCATCCTTAGATGTATCATCCATGCAAGTTTGGTCAATATAGGGCTTATAGTTACTTGGAAATGAGATCTGCTCCAAAAACTTTAACCTGGTCACTCATCCAGAAAATGTAGATCAGATCCAGCATCCGAAGCAACCTGGAAGTGTGCGTCCTTAGATGTATCATCCATGCAAGTTGAGTCAATATAGGGCTTATAGTTACTTGGAAAGCAGATCTGCTCCAAAAACTTTAACCTGGTCACTCATCCGGAAAATATAGGTCAGATTTAGCATCCGAAGCAAGTCCAGTAGTGTGCATCCTTAGATGTATCATCCATTCAAGTATTGTCAACATAGGACTTAAGGTTACTTGGAAATGAGATCTGCTCCAAAAACTTTAACCTGGTCACTCATCCGGAAAATATAGGTCAGATCCAGCATCTGAAGCAAATCCAGTAGTGTGCATCCTTAGGAGTATCATCCATGCAAGTTTGGTCAATATAGGGCTTATAGTTACTTGGAAATGAGATCTGCTCCAAAAACTTTAACCTGGTCACTCATCCAGAAAATGTAGGTCAGATCCAGCATCTGAAGCAAATCCAGTAGTGTGCATCCTTAGATGCTTCATCCATGCAAGTTTGGTCAATATAGGGCCTACAGTTACTTGGAAATGAGACCTGCTCTAAAAACTAAAACCTGCTCCAAAAACATTAACCTGGTCATTCTTTGGCTGAAATTGCAGCATCTGAAACCTTGACTGGTACAATGAAACACACTAGAAGCATCCTCTATGCATCTCTGATTAATATGGGGCATATAAGTACTTGAAAAGAAAACTGCTCCAAAAACTTTAACCTGGGACACCAACGCCGAGGGTATTACATAAGCTCCCCCAACTGCGTTGAGATGAGCTAAAAATGGTATAAAGATATAGCAAGTTTTTATCATATCCTCCTTTCAATTTTTTGTTAGAAATAATGACATAATGAGCTACTCCAAAAACATTACCCTGGTAACTCATCTAGAAAATGTAAATCAGATCTTAAACAAATGTTTCATCTTTTCTGCAGGCCCAGTGGTTTTTGAGAAGATTTTTCAAATATGACATAAAATTTTCACCAATTCTTTTAAAATTATTCTCCCTTGGAAGAGGATGTGGCTCTTCGTTTGAATAAAATTGAATTTCCTTCAACCAAGAATAACTTTGTTGCAATTTTGTTTGAAATTGGCCCAGTGGTTCTTAAGGAGGTTGGATCCTGCCATCAAAAGTAATGAGAATTTTTTATCAAGTATATTTTTAGAATTTACACACATAGCTTAATTAAAAATCAAAACAAAAAATGGGGGTCAATGCGCTTCTTTTGGCACTACAGAGCATTTAGTTTGACCTTTTTGCACTGTAAATACGTCTTACACATAAATCAATTTTTAAAGTTTTTCCTCCAATATTTTTTATTCAAGTAAATTATGGGAACAAACACAGACTTATTTCATCTTGAATAGACACATTAAAATTTGTGACAACGAAAAAAATTTCAAATTACTCCACACGTTCAATTATTTGACCTTTTTGCACTCAAAAAATTTCATTTTTCTGGCATAAAAATTTAACAAGCAAAAAAATAATTTGAAAGTAATGTCATTTTACTGAATTTAAGAAGAATGGTTAAAAGTATCTTATATATTTAAAAAATAAAATAAAAAGTGGGGGTCTGTGATGTTAATTTTTAGATATTACTAAAATAGTGCTAATTTTAAGCTTAAAATAGGGATATTTTTTTCTTGATTTTCACAATATATTTGCTATATTTATGAAATATGATGATAGAATTCTTGACAGTTTATTTGATTTATAATTTAGGACCAGTATAAAACAGTTCATTGTACAAAATAACTCTGTATGCAGGCTGCATGGAAAAATAGGAATCCAAAATTAACATACTTTAAATACTTTGAAAGAGAAAAAAATGGACATTTTCTTCTAAAAAACCTTCCGCAACAAAATATAGTTCCTCACTTAATGCTTTTGGTATGGAATATAATCATGGAGTTTTAACTGAAAATAATTTAATTCGCATTGTAGAATCCAAATTTATTGAAAGAATTAATACTTTATGCAGAATTTTTGAAATATAGGTTAAGCTATAAATCTGCTCAAAAGCTCAGGAGCGAACCTCGTTAAGACGTCAAAAATGTGAGAAGTTTACAGACACCAAACAAAATATGATGAGAAATTCGGCTCAGGAGAGCTTAAAATGAGAGGCCCATGGGTCACAACACTCACCTGAGTAACTTTAGACCTGGACTGTTCTTCAGAAATTTAAGATATTTTCCTTTATATTCCATGAAAAGTTGTGACCCCCATATTATGGTTCTATGGCCCCACCCCAACTCTATAGGGTCTCTGAATCCTCACCACAATGGGACTCTTCAGTATCAATATGATCAACATTGGGAAAGATTTTTTTTTCCTGTAAAAATGCACTGTGTAAAATTTTATTCTAACTCTAACACAGGGTCCATTATTCGAAAAAAAAATTAATCCACAAAACTTGGGAATGTTTGTAAATTAATGACCCAATTGTAGTTCTTGAGAAGATTTTACTTAACCATTCCAATCTTATTGTGACCCAACCCTACCCCAAGGGCCATGGTTAGAACAATTTAGAATCTAAATTATGTCGTGAAACTTACCTATAAATTTCATCTTTTCTGGTCCAGTGGTTCTTGGAAAGATTTTTCCTATATGTTCCAAAGTAAAACTTTGATCCCCTATTGTGGCCCCATCCTACCCTGGGGGTCATAATTTGGTAAATTTTGAATCTACACAATCTTAATAAGCTTTCACACACGTTTCACTTTTTCTGGCCCAGTGGTTCTTGAGCATTTTTAAAGACCGCGCCCTATTTTTGCTGTTTCTTGATCATCTCCCTTGGAAGGGAGCTTGGTCCTTCCTTTAAAGAATTATGTATCCCCTTATCATTCACCTGACCAATCAAAGCCATAAAATTCAAGTTAGAAAAATATCAAGATATCATAGCCCCATTAGTCCATTACCTTGACCCTAGAATTAATTACTTGAGTCACAAGATAATACGACTTGTGATGAGATGCAAAATTGAACATTCTATACCGTATTCACCCTATTTAGCACCCCTTCCCTTATAGGTATCCTCTGGGACCTTTTTCAATTGACTAAGAATAAGGGCCCCCTTCCCTAATATGTCTTATCATATAATTTAAAGTTACATAATGAGTCAAAATCATGTGTTTCTTTTAAGATAATTGTATCATAAAACAAAAGATTTATAAGAAATATGAATAAAGCAAAGTCTTGACTACTCAACTGCACCGTTAAGCAAGAAAAGAACTGCAGAATGTAAGTGCCGGAAAAGCAAAGGTTGTATCTATCGCTTAGTTGTTATCGTCAAAGTCAAGGTCACGCGATGTTTACTCTTAGCAATGAAACTTTGTAAACAACATTGAATTGGAGCAAGAAAAAGTGAGGAATAAGTTCTGATCATCTTTATTAAAGATTGTATCAAAATTCTCATTCATCCAACATTTATATCTATGAAACTGACACCATGGTAAATTCTTCAACTTTTCTGCGCATGCGTAACAAAGAAGTAAAGCAATATTTTTGTGTTGGGGCAAACAAAAATTATTTTTACTTTCATTTTTCTCCATAAAAGTAGATTTTTTAGGTTCTGAAATCTGTAATTATCTTCAAGAATTGAACAAAATTTGCTTGTGTCATGCAAAAATTTTACTTTTGTCAATTTTCCCCTTTTTCCGTCATGGTGTCTCTTTAACTTAACACGATTTTACCACTGTACATTGACAATATTTAATACATGAATTCTTGGAATGAATTATCTAAATTTCTAAAGGCATATATAGTGTTTAAATTTCTTATGCCTTCTTAATACGATATTGCACTTTGCTGTCACCTTTTTTTATTTATAAGGTAAAGCATGTACCACTTTTAAAATGCATTTTTGATGGGGATGTTTTGATAAAAGTATGTTTCTATTTGTTCTAATACTGTACGTCGTGTAACACGGCATGTTTTATAGCAGACAAACCTATAAATATGCACCCCATTCTTCTAACTTTCTACTCACTCAGGGCTTTTAATAAGACGCATACAGTATTTTAATTTCATTTTGTAAAGAATTCCAAAAGTATATTTGAAACAAAATCTGTGACATGTCATTACCACTTGACCTTGGAGAAATGACCTAAGCCAAGCCAATCACATCTGTAGATCACATTCATCAAACAGAACATTTAATTTCATAAAAGAATTCATATTTGTTCCAGTCAGGGGGTGCAAAGCTACATCTTAGATGCTTGTTGCAAGACAGATGGACACCCAAGCATTCACCAGGGTCTATTTTTGCATAATTTGTTTTTTCAAAATTATTCAACAAAAATGACAAATACCAGTATTTATATGTTTCTGTTTGGTGCAAACTCATTAATCTGAAAGTTTTCATTGGTCTCAGTTAATCAACAAAAAAAGTTTCTCAAATGAACTCCACTGATGTCTACTGACACTGGCAAAGTCATTTGATTTGTTAGAAGAGATCTGCAATGTTTTCCTCCATGAATCGTTTGTAGATGGCCATGAACTTGGCTACAAAGGCTTCCAGGTGATATATTGCCTTTTGCCCAAGCTGGAGTCGATGTTGAAAAAATGCAGCAGATTGCACCACCTCTGTTTTCAGCTCCCCATCACAATTATTAATCAATTCTTGTAACAATCCCTGCAATGTATAATTCCATGGAACTGAGAAATTAACTCCAAGATTAAATTTTGTACAAGGTTAAATTTTGCAATAGATATGTGGACAGCTAACAATATTAAATTTGAATTTAAATTGACCTTCATAATGATGTCTGCCGGTATGCAATGAGTCAGAAGTTCATAGAGACGACCTCTGACCTCCAGCAGGCGTCGTGGAGATTGCTGTTGAATTATCATATTAGCCGTTTCCCTGAGATAAACCTCCCAGTCTGGTTCTGATACCTCTTGGTCTGATTTTAATGGAGTCCTGTAATGTAGGGGATTTTCACTGATCTCACAACACATTCACATTCTTCTCTGTATGTAAGTATTAATACTGAGATGACCATCATTCAAGGTTTATAAATTTTGCAACATATTGTTTAGCAAGAATAACACAGGTCCATCACCTAGAGATTCTTCCCTTAAGTCCTCTCAGACTTAAACTAATGAGAAATGAGTAATATCTGTATAAAGTAATAGACATCAGGCAAAACTCAGTTTGATCTTGTCATCACTGAGGACTCTTTTGATTTACGACCAGAACTAATTCCTGTGTCATCAGATTACATATACTTGAAGCATAGGAATGACAATGCTCCTGCTGCTACAGACTAAATACTTACTGTTGAACTTTGCATGCTTCTGCCATCAGTAATGCTCTCCGGAGATTTCGTCTGCTCTTCTCTGCTACCCTTCTAGCTAACTCTATGGGTATGGGACAACCCTCTTTCTTACAAACCATTTGGAGAATGTGTGTTATCTATAAAAAGAACAAGGTAGAAAAAATATGAAACAAGATTTTCCAATTTATTGTTTAATAACTGTACAGTGAGCAGATACACATTCTTTGAAAAACAAGACTCTTCACAAATTAATTTCATAAATACTTCCACCCTTGTCTGCATTCCATTTTCTGTTTGAATTTTGCATTTTTTTAATAGTTGCTCTCATTCTATCTTTTAATCAAAATAATTTAAAGTACAGAAGTCCCATACTTCGTCAATGGTAGGTGCTGCAACCCTGACCCCTAGACATCTACTGCGGATGGCTGGAATCACTTTACTTGTTGACACACAGCAGAGAATAAGTCTGCATGTTGCCATGTACTTCTCCATTGTACGACGGAGAGCATGCTGGGCATCCTTTGTCAGCTTGTCAACCTCAGTCAGTACAACGACTAGAAACAAAAGGATAGTAGTCACCAGTAGCAGGAATCATTGAGGAAAATAAAGAATATCAAAAGTTAACATTTACAGGAGTCTTATTAAAGTAAATATTGATAGAATACAAAAATATCTTCATTCTCATAGATGTTAAATATAAAGGCACAGTGATATATAATAGTAATACGACAGATTACAGAAACTATACAGTATGTACCCTAGATGGCATGTATTAATAACCAATATTTCAGCATTGAATTATTATTTTAGGATATTGTTGGTCGTATAACAGAACCTACCCATGCTGACAAATTGAATACCCTGCGTTAGTGTGGTATGATAATTTGTCAGCACAGCAAGGTGCTGTTACATGATCGATGACATCCAAAAACAAGAATTCAATGCTAATATTTACATTCTCTAATTGTCTCTCTTTATAAATTTTAATTTTCATTCATCTTTATTATAAATTTAGCCCTTCAGAACGGATTTGGATGTATGAATTTCTGACCTTTTTTCTTTGACCTTTTAATCAATAGAAGTCTTCTTTAGGCCATAAGGAGCTGTGATATAAAATTTCATACCACCCAGAAATGAAAGTGTTACACACAGACAGAATGTATGAATTTCTGACCTTAGTCTTTGATGTTTTGACCTCAAAACCGTTACCAATCTTCTTTAAGCCATAGGGAGTTGTGATATAAAATTTCAATGTAAAAGCCCAAAGGCTTTTTGAGATAGCGTCCATAAACAAAACAGTTACACACAGACAGAACAACAGACAAAATGGTCAAATGATCATTAAGGACTGATGTTTCCTTATATGTTATCAGTCCAGACAATTTTTTTTAACGGCCTTGCCAACAAGAAGGACGGTTTTCAACAACTCTGGAGCATTAATCTACAGTATAAGTTTTACCTAAATTCCAGTATTTTCAAGGATCCTGTACAGTATTTGGGTCTAAAAATTATCATATGTATGTAATATATACCTTTGAAGTCTCTCTGTGAGGAATCCAAGTTGTTTGTTTGAGCTACTGTTTTAATTAGTTCCTGGATAACAACTCTGTCTTGTATTCCCACATCACTAAAATACATACATGTATATGCAAAATATCATGCAAATATAGACACACAGAATAATGTGACAAAACTAGATTTTTCATATATTACTAAAATAAACAATCAACGTATCAGGATTTAAAGTTTCTACAAGCTGTAAATAACAAGGCCATGCTCCTACTAGCACTAGCTACAGGCTTCATTCTCAATCTCAGATGGAGCAACATATTTATTATCTGAGGGTTGTAGTTTCAAACCACATTGTGGACAACTGTACATAATCAGTCCTATAAAAACTAAAATGATATCATTCATAATTTCTTTGAAAACACTATGCACTTTGTACAAACAGAGTATCTGCATATAAATTCTAAGTTTGAGAATCATACACATTAACAAAAATTAACATTTGTTAAACAAATTAATGTTAAGCTTATAATGAGTACCTTGGATTGACCTCAATATGATAATTGCTAGAGATAGTTGAGATTTCAATCTTTTTATTGGATGGGGTGGTGAAATTGTGCTGCTCTATACGTAGTTTTTCAACTCCTGATCCATACAACTCCCTCAAAAGACACATGATACGAGTCTTTTTACCTGCTCCTGAAGGCCCATAGACCAGTAGATGTGGAAAATCTCCTCCATGGACCTAACAAAATTGTTCCATAAGAAGTATATATAATCGAAATAGTTTGATTTATTACCACTACACCAGAAATCATCCTTATAATGACAAACAACATGAACAGATAAATAAGTAACATTATTTGAAGGTCTCTGTAATGATAGCTGTTTCAACTACTTTAAGAACAGAAGAAAGCATGTCTTAAAAGAAAATTAATAAATTTCATACAGTCAAATATTTAATTATATCTGAAGCTGCATGACAACGGGATAAACCAGTTTCTCAGCCGTTTACAGTCTGGTCGAACCCCCGAACGGGGGTAAACGGAAATGGGAAATCCATACCCCCAAACGGGGGTACGAGCATGCGCAGATGCTTAAAAATGTGCGTATTTCACGCAAAAAGTAGGGGTTTACAAAAATCGCCGGTGCAAAGTAAAGGATTATTTGGCAAATCTAAAACCACTCGGAAATGATAGATCAAAGGTGTTTTTAGAGTTTGTATTTTACAAAAATACAACTTTATTGTACAGATCGGGATTTATTCACTGGCAAAGTTGGCGATCTTTTGCTTCTTGACATGCAGGTATTTAAGATAATATAATCGATAAACAGACATAAGCAACTAATATTAAATTGAAATTATAAAAAAAATGTATTATTCTACCATATATCTTTTATTTTCATAATAAAATGCAAGAAAAAATGGTGCTAATATCGATTTATTCATGATTGTGGGTTTCAGTCCGCGTTTCCTCTGACTAGCAATCGACGGTCTTTATTATCGATAATAATGCCCAGGAAGTGTAACAAAAGTACATATAAAAATAAAATTCAAATGAAATCTATCGTATTTATTGTCTTTTATATCTTATAAGAATTAAATAAAATGTTTAGCAACTTGTTGTTGTAGTTTTTTTTTAATAAATACGATTGTTTGGGGGAAAACACGATTTTATTTAATTTTATTTAAATCTAGATTCTAAATTAACATTTTCCTCATTCTTAGAATATTTTTCCTTCTGTTTTAAATTCCAAAATCCTAATTGAGACGTCCTACAAAATAATTAAAAACATTTCATGAAATGACGGAAAATATTTTGTTATTCCTACATTATAAATTCAAACTATGGAAAACTTAACCTGTTAATTTTTTTCTGTTAATATTTTACCAAGTTCATAGCAGAAATAACATTATTATCGATCTTTTTCCTAAGATAGATGATATATGCAAGTTTGTTTATATTGGATACGGCAAGAGTTACTGTTCTTGCGCATTGCATGACGGGACGGAAAACCCTCGTTTGGGGGTATACCCCCGTTCGGGGGTTCGACCAGACTGGTTTAGATTCTTTGCAATGAGTGAGAAAATTCGAAATAAACATTTACGCGCCAAGTGCACGATTATGACCTCAGTTCTATATACTCACAAGTTTCTTAAGAAGAGTAGCTTGATCTTTATGGTAATCTAGCTTATTCAGAGACGACGGTCGATGTTTATCAACCCATAAACTCATTTTCTTTGTTTAGCCAAAAAAATAAATACCACAAAAGTTCCCGGCAAAATCAACGTCAGCTAAACGCTTGTAACAAGTGCTCCAAAAATGTTTACGGTGTGGTTCGACCCGCGTGGTTACGACCCAAGTGGTTTCGACCTCTCTAATATATATCCCTATATGTGAATACCTGAGTACAGGGGTATACACTGTGCGGTAAACAAATGGATATTCGGTAGCTGTATATTGTATGGCTTCAGAGATGTGCGTGTCAATAGGTAGTTGTTTCCGTATTTGTAGTCAACATGCAGTTAGAAGGTTTCCTAACATTTTTTGTACTATCGCGGAGCATGGATGTTGATGAATTTGTTTAGTAATGAATTATATTTGAACAGTTTTCCATAAAAATTAATTAAATACTTCTTCAAATGTACCGTGATCACATATGCACTATCTAAACATTAATGTAGATTTCTCCAAATTATGATACACAAATATACAAAAAAATGTAGACGAAAAATAAAATGTAAAACTGTTGAAAGAGTTAAGAGGCAGTCCACCAGAAAACCAGGCAGTTTTGTATTAATAGGCGGCACATCGAATGTGACGAATATTTGATATTTTATTGAAAATGATATAAATGTAGTCCATATGGAATAATGTAAGTAAAGATTTGTTTGAAAATAACTTATTTACTAAAATATCGTTTTGTTTTGTGTTCTTGAATTCCCCTATATAAACCATTGAATGTAGGTCGGAAACAAAGAACTGTAAATTCTAATACATTTGCAACAGATCTATAATTCACTCCAAACTAAATCAAGAAATAATTCATCTTTCAATTTAAAAAATAAAATCAGTGGGAAAAATATTTTCAATAGTAGTTTTCTTGCGAAATAGACAGTCATTTTTATGAAATTCTGTGATGCAAGAGTTATCTCCCGTAGCATCGGGAAATCATCTAAACATCTTACTATCAGAACCCCTGTGAGAAATTTAGAACTGATACGCTAAAGAATATCATTCAACCAAAAATAATTGGTTTATTTTCAAAAAGGGAATTAATTTTCACCTCCAAACATAATATTTAGTCTAAAATTTGCTTTATTATTCAGGTTGAAACCACGTTTCCATTGATGTATCAGTGACGTCAAATACCTATCTAATATTGTGTCACAATAGTTGCAAATATTCCGCGGAAGTTGGTAATTTTATGTAAACGTGCAAAGAAAAAGATTTTTAAAAAGTTGCGTTAAATAATTTCTCTTTTCTGTCCAATTACTTTTCCGAGTGCATTAAATAATATTGTGATCCAGAATGTATTTTATTCACGGGCGGTGCCTCAGCTATAGATGTTTTAAAAAAAGTCAGTATTGATAAGTAATTTTATACATGTACAAAACGTCTTTACAGTAATCATAATAGGATTAAATTGATAAAATTTGGATGTGAAAAGATTAAGAATTATTTCTTATTATTCAGTAATAATGAATAGGCCTATTCCAAATTTACACAACATTAAATTCAGCAAAGTCGAGATGTGCACTTCATGAAGTGTTGTTTTAAATACTTGAATATGTTAACTTATATGCAGTAATATCAAATATCAGCATTATACGACTGTCGGACCGAATAAGTTTTAACAGTTGTGAGAACGGAAGTACTCGTCACATCCCACTTCACTAAATGTTGCCAATTCTACTGCTGGAAGCCCCACTTCAAGCTGACACTAAAACGGCAGATGAGTCAATGGAACATTTTTTTTTATTTTCGTTTTTAAAATTTGACAATTGTTTCACATATCCTAATACTTTATACTGAGTTAAAATAAGTCAGTAGGTTGGTAAATTTCCAAAATATCTCATTATTATCAAACCAGTTACAAAACGGATGCCGCCCAGACCAAACCCCCCTCCCTCCGCTTTTTTTTTCCGTGCGTTCATTTCTGGGCTCAATTATCATGATTATATGTATGTAAGTGTACAGGTTTTTTTCTTATTTATTTCAAATTAAATTTCTTAGAGCATGAAAATATTCTTTAATATGATGAATGGATGAAAAAAATTGGATTAAAGCCGAGGCTGTACACATAAAAAATACTTGCTGGATTAAAGTACGTGCATGCGTAATTTCGTCACTGCAGGACTTTTTTTTTTTTTTTTTTTTTTTTTTATAGATTTTCTTTTTAGTCCAGATAATTTAGAAAAATATTTTTCTTGGAAATGAGATATTTTATTAAGCTTAAAATTTGCTATTAATTGTTAAATTAAATAGATATCTTTTTAAATAGGTGTGTATCAAGAAATCAAACATATGTTTTACAAGTAATTAAAAAGATCTTCATGGACCTGAAAAACATTTAGTAATTAAGATATATGTAATCTATGGATAAAATCATCTAAAAACATGTAACTCACAGAAAAGAAATAAAATACAGACATATTCCTACGATAAAATACAACGAAGAGCCGATTTTAGAAAATATTTCTAATTTTTAATATAGAAACCAATCCCGATTGAAATAAAACCGATCCCGATCGAAATTAATGCAAAATTACTAAGTAATCAAATTAATGGTAATTGCCACCTAGAAAACATGTTTAAAAATAAATCAAGTAATTTGTAAACCATATTAAAACAAAACAACCAAGTTTCATGATGAAATCATAGTAGCTTTCTTCTTTATATAATTCCGGTCGGGATCGGTTTAATTTGGATAAATTTATAGAAAGTAGATAATTTGACGCCTCTTATTTCTCTCAATATACCTGTTCCCACCAATTTTTTTTAAATTGATTCAACAATTTGTACTTTGTATTCATAATAACATGAGGAGAAAGTTTTGACATTTAAATGTATTGGATTTTAGAACGTAATGAAAATTGAAAAGTGAATTCATTAAGTTACTTGCTTAAGGTAGTATGGGATACCTCCACGTTATGACGTATTTCCGTTTGAAGTATTGTTTTGATTTGCATGAGTGCTTATTATCGGGTCAAAATTTGTAGTTACACCGTTAAAAAGAACACTCTGAAGCCTATTTCAATGCAAGTTCTCACAAGTCGGCATTTTAAGTAAAAACAGACAAAAAAAATCGCAAGTATATAAATTTACTTATAATTGTACAACGGACATTTAAAAAAGCAAACCCCTGTAAAAGGTAGTTTCAACATTGCTGCTTTTGAACACTTTTAAGCAAAAGCTGTATTTCAATTGTTTGAGTAACTGTACAGCACCTTGTGTGCGGTGAGGCATGGATAAGTGTGATTACTTCACATTGTGCTGAATTATCACCAATCAATTATCACGTTAACCACAGCTGGACTTTTTTGTTATTTAATTCAAGAAGTAACTGTTTGGTCACAAATCAGCTAGCTGTTGTATATAGTCCCAAAACGTTCAGATGAATGGAATTGCTCTGAACAAGACACGTCCTGGAAAGCGATTGTCCATGCATTGTTTTCAAAACCGCTCAAAGTTGAAAACTACAAAGTGCGATTTTTTTATGGTTGGGAAAAAATGCTCATCATTTCTAAAATAGCACCCAGGTTTTTTCAACCCTTGGAAAATAAAGAAGGATAACTCTTCCGCTCGGATCTTTTAATTCAAAAAATTTTAAATGCATTTTATATTTTCCATTTATACATATATTTTCAATTTGTTTATTTCACTTTGCTAACATATTAAGATACATTCTTATTGTAGACTTTCATGAAATGTTATCCGTCTGTTTTCAAGAAATAAAGTTTTCCCAGTTTTTTACGCTTATTTTTTGTTGAAAATTAAAAAAATACTAAGACATATTTCTTGTCATTTTTGTTTTTATATACACTTTATATTAGCAAACGCCTGCCTATAATATTAAGCTTATGAAAAAATAATTATGCAAGGAAAAAATCATTTTTGTATTTCTCATTAAAATAATAAAAAAAATTATTAAAATTACACTTTAATATACTGAAAGGTGGGGGTATTTCAAATCCTTCTAATTTGGGTACATAAATATGTAGGAGAAGTTTCGTTTGGTATCCCATACCACCTTAACTCAAGTTTAGACCACATAATTTTTCTAAAGATATATAAATTGGTGTTTTATTCATTGATATTATAAAAATAAGGGATTATACTATAAATAATATTTATTGACATATCCAGTTTTTGAGTATCTGTTTCAAATAAAACAAAACAAAAACGTAGTAAAGGATGACTGCACTTAACGCCTGTTTTTGGGTCCTTTTCGGTTGCTTCTGTTGCTTTTGTATCTAAACCTTATCTCACTTTTGTATGTTTATGAAAGAATACTGTCAATTTGGAACCACATTTAAATCTTAAAATGATTTTAGACTGTGATACAATAAAATGATTCAATGTTCTTTGTCCTTACTGCTTTCCAAATATAGTGAATTTACACTTACCTGCCCTTGATTGAACATTAGATATGCATGAGAGGTGGAGCTAATATTGTAAGAATGGCTCTAAAATTAGACTACATAAATAACAATGACATGTTTTGAAAAGCGAACGTGATCACTCTTTCCAATCTCCCTCTCCATTCTGTATAGCACAAATACACTTCTGACAAAGGTTTCAAAACGAAATTAACAATATGAGCACATCAATGTAATTAAAGCAAATTTATATCAATGCCAGATGACTTAACGTGTTCGAACACAATGTCCTAGTTAGCACATCACATGCTTCCTTACAAGTCACGTGACGGAATTTAGTATTCACAAAGTTACCTGAGGTAAGAAATCACGTGGTGAATTATAATATTCAACATGTCACAATCCTTGGTTACAACACAGAGAGCGAATGTAAGAAGAAGCAGTTTTTTCTCTTTTTAACCATGAGCGCATGTTTGTCTATTAATCTCCTTTTGACACATTATTATTTATGCAAATATACAACTACTGTTAAACGTAGAAAAATAGACAAACATGCGCTGACTATGTATAAAGTCAGTAAATAAGTGGGCGTCCTCATTATCGAACGGAGATTCAAGAAATTGTGATGACCCCTGCCTTTGAAAACAGCTTCGAACTTCGTAAATACACACTTTTATTAAACGTA